TGGCAGCTAGCCGCTGAGCGTGGCTGTGAAAATCACTCACTCTCAAACTGACTCATCTCCAATCTTCTCACTTACGTGAATGAAGCAGTCTCGCAAGATGAATAAGTTGAGAATGTGTGAGCGCTGTTGTCAGCTCTTGGCTTAAGCAAAGGGGTCATATAAACGCACGCTTAAGTTGACTTAGCTGGGAAGCCAGGCAGTGACCCTATTTCCCGGGACAATTTTTCTCCATAGAAACGGAAGGGGATAAAATTAATTAGTAAAATCCAACTAGTGGTCTATTATCAATGCTGCGTTCTGATTGGTTGAGCTACTACTAGGCTATATGTTATACCTCACTAGTAGCGAAAAGCGCCGACTTTTTGGCGGTAAAAAAGGATTCAAGTTTACCTTTAACTAGGTAACGTTGGTTTGTCTCGATATTTTTGACCAATTACAGTAAAACCTCTTTTAAGCACACCCCCAATCAAGCGGGCACCCTCTATTAAGCGGACACTAAGCCTGGTTCCGAAATTAACGTCTTATATTTCCTTTTATAACGATCCCCTATTCAGCGGACTCCTGTATTAAGCGGAGGCGGACACTAAAATAAGTTGTATTTGGCTAATTTCTATTGTTAAAAACCTCTATTAAGCGGACAACGGACTGAATTGACAATAGTAGTATTGGATTACGTCCTTACAATACAATACAATAGTTTATTGACACTCCCCTGGTGGGGCTTTTCAGTGACAATGCGACTAAAAAATAAAAAACTAATTAAGATAAGACAAGTAGTTAACAATTCGATTAAAAGGAAAGAATGCGGTTAACAAAGCAATATAAACATACCTATTTAAGAATTAATCGTATAATAAATATTCTCACTACGTACTATACAATATGCATATTTTAAGTTAAAATAAAATAAGATACTAAAATACAATCATAACGTCCTATTTAAAAAGTCAGTGATCAACTTTTTTTCAGACAAAATTTAAAAGTAGAAATCGATTTTGCAGTTTTAAGAGTACTGTCTAGATTGTTCCAAATGTGCACCATGCGGTAGTGGAATGTTCTCTGTCCGGTACTCGACTTATACAAGGGGATGTTTAATAATTGGCAACTTCGAGTCACGCGTCCGGTGGCCGCAATTCTTGTTGTAAATTGATCGCTGAGGAATGTGGAGCTTGACCAGTCATGCATTTAAATGCCACGAGAGCGTCGCGGAAGAACAGCTTTTGTTTAACTGGAAACCAACGTAGATCTCTTAGTGCGGGGGTTATATGATCAAATTTCCTGGTACCTGTAATAATGCGCGCGGCAAAGTTCTGCACTGACTGTAGTCTACAGATATTTTTGTTCGAGATGTTCGACCACACTGTGGAACAGTACAGTAATTTGCTAAAGACTAGGGCATTTATTATTGTCACCAGCTGGTTACGGTCAAGAACATGTTTAACCCGACTGATTTGTGCGAGGCTTGACATACAAGATGACGTAGTTTTTAGAACATGGTCATCAAACGTTAGTTGCGGATCTAAAACAACCCCAAGATCTTTGGCCGAAGATGTAAGAGCGAGATCTTTTCCTAGAAGAGATATTTTGAAGTCGGGGAGTTTGGCAAGTAGTTGTCGGCTTCCAAAGACTACGAGTTTCGTTTTGTCAGGATTTAAAAGTAGAAAATTGTTAAAACACCAATTACGTATTAAAAGAAGGTCGCTATTTAGATCGTTCATAGCAGTCGGACAATCACGCATCTTAAAAGAAATCTGAAGTTTAGTGTCATCTACGTAACATTGCGTTAAACAGTTTCTAGGAACAGAAGGTAAGTCGTTAATGTAAATAATAAAAAGAAGCGGCCCAAGAATGCTTCCTTGAGGAACACCACTATTTAAACGCAACGAATTCGAGAGGGTCCAGTTAATACTGTAGAGAGGGTCCTGAGTTAATACGCACGACTTGATGTCTGTAGGTCAGGTAGCTAAAGTAAACCACGCGAGAGCGCCTATTCGTATTTAGAAATACCGAGATGTTGTAGTTTTAAAGGAGAATATCATGATTTATACTGTCAAATGCCTTACTCATGTCCAACAAAACCATAACAGAGAGTTCCTGCTTATCCATGCCAGTCAAAATGACATCTGTGGAGCGGATAAGTGCCGTTTCTGTGGAATAAAATTTCTTATTTCCACTTTGTTTCGCAGAAAGACGGTTGTTTGTTGTTAAATATGCCGTCAGCTGGTTCAACGCAATTCTTTCACACACCTTTAACAATACTGGTAATAACGAGATCGGTCTGTTATTACAAGGTTGTTCATTGGAATAGGCGTTACTTCTGCTTGTTTCCATCCTCCAGGGAAAACTCCATTTGTAAGAGAGGCATTGATGACGTGAGTAATCGGCGACAAAATACGTACTGAAGTCAGTTAATGTTTTTGCATTTACAAACAAATTAAAGTTGGTAATAATGAAAGGGAATGAACTTGAACTCTGGATAGCTTCTTTAACAACATGCCACTTTATCACAGTACAGAGTAACCGTTGAATGTTGATCATTAACAAACATTGCGCAATTTTTACAACCTCTATTAAGCGGACACTTGGGAAGGTCCCGAAGGTGTCCGCTTAATAGAGGTTTCACTGTAGTTGAATTTTACTAAAACAATTATTCCTCTCGCCCTCATGGCCTCTGAGTCAATAACCCCTTTGGCCTCATGGGCTTAAAGGTCCGATAGAAAATTGGGTTCAGGGGTGCTGGGGTGCCGGTATAGCTTCAACCTACTGTATACAGAAGTGTAGTTCTGTCAGTACTGACCTTACTTTCAAAAACATTCGCCCTACAAGTAATCGGCAATTTGTTTCTAAGCTAGTTGAACGAGCAGTTTCGAATCAGCTTCAGTCTCATTTGGTTAAGAATAATCTCTTGCCTACGCTTCAGTCGGCATATCGTCCTAACCAAACAGCCCTATTCAAAATTAAAATTGACATTTTAATCAACATGGACAAACAACACGCTACGCTTCTTATCCTTCTAGAAATGATCTACAGTTGTAATTTATTCGAACACAACATATATAGGTTTGCAACACATAACTTTATCTTCGTCAAACGATGGCTATTTATACTAAACCACGTGTTTAGTTGTTCTTAATTATACTTAATATCCATCCAAACTAATACTTTACAAATGCTGTGTAAATATATTAATATATTCTTTAGACTTATAGCTGTCTGTATAATAGAAATCGTTTTGTTCCACCAAAAGAATTTCATGAAACAAAAATATCTTTAAAATATCTCTTTAGTTTCAGTTGTTAATTTTTTGTTTTCTCATGTTGACTAAGATAATTTATACCAAAATTTCCAATAATTACATGAATGGCAAAGGTCTCTTCTAACTATTGCGCGTGTTTCTAGACTGTTCACAGTCGTCAAGATCAGGCTCTTACCGGTATGGACAGCCATCTTGGTTTCTTATGTACCGAGGGGGCAAGGTTTTTTTAGCTGTCGGGTTAGGCCTAGATACAAATATCCGGATATTTTCAAGATATTTATAAGATTTTGAGATATTGTCAGAGGAAGCGAGAAAAATTGCCTCTTCGATTGGGAAAAGGTTTAAAATGTGCATGTTTGCCTGTTTTAGTTGGAACAATGTCCCTGTGAATTGTATTATACAAAATTATTGTTTCGAAATTGGGTAGGAGATGTTTGTAAACACGCGGATGTGTCTGGTATGTTTTTCATCTAAAACGGAGTTGGTTAATTAGTGAATGGTAAAAGGCGTTAGGACCGTCCTTCTGTCGCCTTCTCCCAAACTGTTCCCCGCCCCCTAAGTAGATTTGACACTCATTGCATCCAAGATGGCCGCCCGTAACGCAAAGCGCTCGATCTCGACGATCTTACGGAAAAATAGGGGACTCTGAGTAGTCTAGCTTGATTCCGCTACTTTGAATAAAAGACCACGACACATACTACCGGCGTGACAGTCACGCTATGCGTCATGTGAAGCTTTACCTTTAGCAATTATTCAAAACTGAAAGACAGTGGTCACCGACAACTGACGTGACAGACACTTCTTTGTAATTCAGCATTTCAGACAACAAGCCAAACCTCAGGATGTATCTAATATCTCCTAGGATTACTCATTCATGTGACTTGATTCAAATACCTTCACTCTGATTAATCGACTACACTATCATATCTACAATAATATCTATAATATCTACCATGTTATCTACATCAGTCCTGATCGCACCTTTTATGGTCAAACACATGACAGATATTGCTCACATGATTAGCGGGCGTTTCTTTTGGATAATCCAAGATAAGATTATCGAACTCAGATTATTTGAATTCGTTACAACGAAAGAAACGGAAAATCCGATAATGCATCTTTAGGACCTTTAGCATATGGCGCGAACCGTGATTGGCCAACCGCCACCGTGTGTGCTTTCTTTCGGATTAGTGACGAAAGAAAGGCACGCTGAGTCTGGGTCATGAATCCTAAAAATCCAGATTTAGATCTGTTCTGATAAATCCATAGTCCTTTAAAGTCGTCACGCAACGGGGAAGAAGCGTTGGGTGACGACCCTAAAAATGGCGGCGAAGAAGACTAATGATTACACTCAGTTTGTAGATTCTTCAGATTAAAAATTTAATTTCTCCTGGATTTCAGTAAATGAACATTGGGTCCGTTTTTGAATTTGGATTTTCCCAAAGATACCCTAGTCTTTTTAGGCACGCCCATAATAAGATGACAGCTGCTTTGTATCCTTATCTGAAAAGCGTAAAGGTTATGTTACAAAGGACGATTCGCAACGACTATTTTTTGCACAACACAGCATTGCAATGCTGGAACAATGTTGCAACCATTTGAATCAACGTCGCAACAATGTTGCAACGCTGTGTTGCGCTAAAAATCGTTGTTGCGAATCGTCCCCTGTAACATCACCTTAAATCGCATATTATATGGCTGATTGCTACTTGGCACTTGACAGAGACTGATCTTGCTTTTCCATCTAGCCAAAAGTCCAGACTTCAACGCCAAGACAAATGAAATCCTCGGTGGCGGAAAGCATCTCGCTGTCATAAGTTTCGCAGGCAGTGCTTCTACCATGATACAGATCACTGTCTAACCAAAGCCCAAATTTCCCTCTGAAAATTAACAAACATTTAATAGTGATCAAGGTACTTCATAGTCTTCAACGCATCCGTTCTTTATGTCCTCGCGTCAGCATACTAGGGGCGCTTACTATTTGTAAGGTTTGGCTGACTAGAGAAGCCCGATCAAAAAGAGAATTCCATTATTAATCATAACCGTTACAATTTCCTCAAATTTGATTGGTGCGTTGACGGCTTTATTTTTCATCAATCATTGTGTAGGGTTGTAATCGGACAGTTGACTGTAATCGGACACCTTTAATGGCAGAATTTATCACAATAACCAAAGCAAAAATGGACGAATTTGTAACATTACACAATGTCTCTTTGATATTTTCCCTAATTTTGGATAATTGGTATTAAAAGCTCTTTCACAAAAACAAAATGCATTTGTTTTCTCGAAAATTGTAATGATTATGATAAATTTGTAACAGAACTTCGATTTGTATCGTCCAATTCGGTATGTAATCATACCCTTGATTAAACAAATCGGACTCCCGCGATTTTGTTAATCACTCGTATGATTACAGAAAAAATTTCGAGAAAAGACTTATGCTTTACGTTTCAATTACTCAGACATCTGGTCGGCCAGTTCTGACTTTTGAAAAGCGTTCTTGGTACTTCGTCGCGTGAACAGACCCATCATATTTTTTCTAACATAACACAACATAATAGAACAGGCTGTTGGTCCTAAAAGTCCTTCGAAGTCATGTAAAGCTGTTATAAAATCAAAAGACAGATCCAAATGTTGCATTTAGCAATGTGGGCAGTTTTGGACCAACTTAAAGGCCCAAAGAACAAAGGCGGGTTGAGGTTTAGGCAGTTAGACACAAAAAAAATGAAAATAGTCAATCGAATAAGGGTTTTAATATAAAAGACATGAACTCATCAACACACAACCTCGTTCCCAGGGTTCGTTCCTACCCGTGCCCTTGGAACGACTCGGTTGAGCAACACATAACTCAACTAGAGATAGACTGAAGATCATTGCTTTGTCGATTTAAATAAGTTTTATTTCATTGATGTATTTTACAAATCATTATTAAATTCATAAACAAAATAGTATAGTATACGTATTGTTTGTCAACATCCGGAAGGGAAGAGTGCCATTAAATATAAAAACAGTGAAAAGAAAAGCACTTACTCACTGCTTCCGAAGGCAAGTCCATTTGCATCTCCCGTCATGTAGTAAGAATTTCTTCCACGGCATGGATAAATCTACAAAAAGAACCAAGCCAATGTAGATACCTGTATCTCTAATTACATGTGATATTGTGAGACTACGTTATTGTGCCTCCAGAAGTCCGTTCTTAAGGTGACTCGACCCAGTTATTTTGTGAGGGTACCATCCTACTTTGACGCTCTCTAGTATCCCCACCTTTACTTTGATCGTAAGTCTAACATATAGCATGGATAACATATAGATTAATCTACAATATAGCATAAAATGTTTGGCGATCGGAGTAAAGGTCACGTGGTTATAGTGCCACGCCTCTTTGGTGTCTGAGTCGAAATTCTGCTGTTGCCGGCATTTTTTCGTGAAAATCTCTCGGCTACTTATAGTTCGCATTAGTGCCTTGCGTTGAACAGAGTTTCACCAAAATCGCAAAGACCCAATGCGAGAAATTCAGCGGTTTCCAAATTTAGGTCGTAATTTATGTGAAAATGATAAGTAAACTTTAAACGATTATATCTAATAAACTATGAGATTTATCCCTTTATTTTGGGGATCTTTATAACGGATGGGTCCTTGCAAGTCAGCAAAAAACTTTAGGGACTTGTAAATGCACGCGATTTCGAGCAATGAAAACATATAGAAATTATAGTTTTAGCTGTTTGTTGACGTTTGTCAGCATTTAAGGGTGCTTCTCACGAAAAAAGCATTTTCTTAAAAATTCGTAGTTTTTTTTCCTTCAAATTTTTTCAGGGCCACAATTGATTAACTGCATGACGGCATGACGTATATACTCAGCTGGCTGGAGACGTTACGCGACGGGAATCCCTTCTATTTTCTTATACTGAATTATCATATCTCGGTGAGCACTCGGAAGTCAGCCAAGCGCGGTCATTGCACGCGTGCTGAACAAGAATGTTGTATCATGACAGAATAGAAACAATAGAAAACTCCCAAAGGACAAACTCAGTCAAAACGCTAAAAATCTTCAATGTTTACTCAAGTTTGGAATTATAGAAGATAATGTCACAGTTTTTTCAATCGCCATGTAATTCAGAATCCTGGTAGTTAGTTAATCAATTGTGGCCCTGAAAAAATCTGAAGGAAAAAAAACTACGAATTTTTAAGAAAATGATTTTTTCGTGAGAAGCACTCTTAAACGCTGACAAACGTCAACAAATAGCTAAAACTATAATTCTATATGATTGCATTGCTCCAAATCGCGCGCATTTACAAGTCCCTAAAGCTTTTTGCTGACTTGCAAGGACCCATCTGTTATAAAGATCCACAAAATAAAGGGTTAAATCTCATAGTTTATTAGATATAATCGTGTAAAGTTCGCTCATCATTTTCACATAAATTATGACCTAAATTTGGAAACCGCTGAATTTCACGCAAGGCACTGATGCGAACTATATGTAGTCGAGAGATTTTCTCGAAAAAATGCCGGCAACAGCAGAATTTCGACTCAGACACCAGAGAGGCGTGGCACTATAACCACGTGACATTTACTCCGATCGCCAAAAATTTTATGTTATATTGTACATTGATCTATGTGTTATCCATGCTATATGTTAGACTTAAGATCAAAGTAAAGGTGGGGATACCAGAGAACTTCAAAGTAGGATGGTACCCTCACAAAATAACTGGCTCGAGTCACCTTAAAATACCTAGGATGAAATAAACCGTGCTTATGGTTTGATAGAGCTCCCGAGAGGACTTTGTTTCTTTCGGCGCTCGTTGACGTCTCTCGGCGCTTCGCGCCTTGTTGACGCGGCATCGCCGCGAAACATTTGTATCGATAAGAAAAAAATATCCTCTGGAACCTAGGGTAAGACTACTTGGGCTCCGATAATGAACATAACTTTTACCAGGCAAGGGAATCCGGATTCCGGAATCCGCGAAATGTTTGCTTCTGCAATCCGGAATTCGGGAATTTTATCTGGTGGAATTTGGAATCCTGGGTTTTGGAATCCGAAATTACAGCTCAAGGAAACCGGAATCGCGCTAACCATTGGAATCCGGAATCCAAGTTCCATTTACAAAGAAACCGATATCCAGAATTCGAGACTGTCTTGAAGCTAATAAATATCGCGTGTTTTTAAAGAGTTACAGTGATGCAGGAAAAAAGAGCAATTGGGACAAGGAATGGGACAAGGAAAATGTCTGAGCCCTCAAAAACCATACCACAAATTTACTTTATGGGAGAAGTCGTTTGAGAGCTGAGTCGGTCAGTAGATTTATTGACATGCGTCCTGTATACTGCTTGGATAAACTGAAAAACTTCTAAATGGTCTCGTGTGTAGGTGCAGAAACGACGCTGGTAGAAAGGGATGGTCGTCCGCCAGATGAAACACTAAACAATATATTTAGTTTTCGATCTTATCGCTAAGCTTACCTTGAACTGTGGTCTACAGGTGAAGAAATATGATTTTCCAAACCTACAGAAACTAGTGTCCATCCGAGGAGAAATTGGAGAAAATACACCAAACACCTAATAAACAAATGTTAACAAAAAGAATTGGATTTCACTTTCAAAATGTATGACACTAGAAAGGTTATATAGACGACGCAAATTAACCTTGTATGTGTGCGGTGGAGGGACACAATATCTGTATCTCTTGCGACCTTATCACTTTTGTGGAAAGTTACCTGTAGTGTATGTTTTGTGCAGGAGGCAGAAATCGTTCGAAGAAGGCGATGAATGATATAAGAGCGATTTCGTCAAATAGGTCAGGGATACACGCATAAAGCTTGAGGCTAGGTCTACGCTAGCTTGACTGCCTGAATTCGAAATAAAAACATCCCGGTTTGGTCGCGTGTCCAGAAATATGAATCCGCAAGCTAAAGTGAACAGTACGAATTAATGTTCTCCGATTGGCTGATGTGTGTAAACGCCTACGAGTCCGAATACCCTATTGCTAAATGTAATAAGTCCGGACACATTTATGAATCCGGAGAAATCTCCTCTTGTATAATATAGCTTGAGAAAGTGATTTCGATCGGCAAATTCCAATGATGACGTGTAATGCAACGTTTTTTATCGTTAACTTTCTTTAAAAAATTCGAACGAAGTGTACTAAAAGACCAACAGAAAGAAAAAGTATTGGAAATTCGGAAAGAGTGATGGAAAAAAACTCCTAAATGCTATTGTATATTAACAAGAGAGGATAAAGGGGACAGAGAAGGCATCCGCCATACATACCCTATTCCATAGATAATTCGTCTCGAGTTATTTTTAGAATCGGGATAAAGTTACCTCGCGCGCTGCGTGGATGTTTCGTGGAGGTTTCGCATGACTAAACGTGCAAAACATGTCGGGCGAAAGGCAATGAAAGCGTAAAGAGGTTGAGAGCATTTCTGAATATTGAAGCGAAATGAGTCGGCGCTCACCTGGGAAAAGGGAATTGCTCGACTCTTTGACAACCCGTGAAATCAGTTCAACTCGAAGTTATCGTAACCTCAGTGCTTAAACAAAATGAGAAATTTCGCCGGTCTATTCAAACCGGTCGTTTGTACAATAAAGCAAGTAGCAAGTAATATTCATGTACATGTAACTAGTTTTACAAATTTGAATTTTATTATAGTTTTTTTAAGTTGTTAAGCGCTGTTGATCAGTGAATGTAAATAGCGCTCTAGAAGTTATTAAATTATTATTATCATTATCATTATTATTATTATAGGACACTAAGTGTTATTTTTGTTGAATAATAAAAGACTAATGAAACAATAAATATCAAACCAGAAATTGCTCTCTTCAAACTGTAAATTATAAATGATCCTGAGAGAATATTCAGTATGTTAAGGATTTCCCTGCTGTACTGTTAGCAGAGAGGAAGGAGGTTTTTTTTAAATTTCCGTTTCGTTGACAGAGCTTTAGCAGAAATCTCTCTTTAGTCGTTTTCGTCGACAAAACGAATAGCAATATCGCTCTCCGCGTCTTCCGCCATTTTTTTCTTCCTCAATTCGTGAAGGACGCTTGGCTCAGAGCGTGGGTCATCCACGCGGAACACATTCGCGCTACGTGATTGGCTGTTGTTTAATCCCCCTTGGGATCTGTGGTCTTAAAAATAACTCGAGACGATTTACCTATGGAATAGGGTGTGTACGGAGGATGCCTTCTCTGTCCCCTTTATCCTCTCTTGATATTAATTAATAAAGGTAACAGGACTAAATGGAGTCTAATTCGTTCTGTATCTCATATCAGTGATTTACGCGGTAGTCCGATTTGTTTAATCACGAGTATCATTACAGATCGAATTGGACGACTCGAAGTTCTTTTACCAATTAATCATAGCTACAACAAAATTTGTGATATTTTAATTAGGCTTTTTTAAAAATTAAAATACAGTAAATTCCGAGAGTTTATGCCCAGCAGTGAAAAAAAAGCTATTTAAGTGTGCGCGCGATGGCGCGTACTGTCCAATTACTAAGGCATCACGCACACTGTTCTGTTACACTGTCAGTTGATAGCCAATCAGATTTGAGAATTTGTTATAGTTATGATTAACACGAAAATCGGTTCCAAATGACACTATATAAATAGAGCTCACTTACAAATCCCTCTTGATCCTTTACTACCAAAAGGACAGGAGTTTCCAAGTCTCTCAGCCTGTGATAGAGCATATTCAGGCTCATACCATGTTGATTTGTACTATAGACCAGTATCCAGGTGGATGATGGGACATGCCGTGAAAGCTAAAAGAAAATGATTAAAAGAAGGTAAGACATGTGCGGACTTGCAAGCAGAAATTTGGCTCCTGTTATTCAAACGTTTGATAGCGCTCAGTCTGTTCCAGTTCAGATTGTGTGAACGACGCAAAAAGATGTTAGCAGGATAAACAGCGAAGGGGTAGCGCAGGGGGTAAGAGTGAAGGAGTTCACTCCTACCCCCGTCTCATCCTCCTTATTTTCCCCTACTCTTTGACTCCTTCACGCCGCACTCCACTATCTAAACGCCTAGAACAGGCCAGATAGCGCTATCCACCAGATAGGCATTTTGAAATCCAATTGCGCTAACCACTGGATAGTAATTTGTTCGATGTACAGCACGATCCACCTTTTGAACAACTAGGGCGAGATAAGCCCGCATTCTCTCAGTGGATAGGTATTTTGAAATCCAATTGCGCTAAAGGGCCGGTCACTATTTATCGCCTGGGGGGGGGGGGGGGGATTTTGCGCTGAACAAGATGAAATTCAGCCGATCCCCCCTTTGAATGCTACTTCACTAAAGTGATCCCCCCTAACAACTTTTGATAACTTTTGCGATCCCCCCTCCAATGTCTTAATTTTCCAAGCAGATTTGAGTGGTCTCCCCTCTGAGTCTTTCCAAAGTTTTTAGCGATCCCCCCTTTTGGGTTCTCAGTTACGACTGATTTCCCTTTTTTTTCTACCAAAAATCAAGTGATCCCCCCTAAAATTCTCCCCCCCAGGCGATAAATAATTACCGGTCCCTTACCAATGGATAGTAATTTATTCGATGCACAGCACTATCCACCTTTTGAGCAACTAGGGCGAGATAAGCCCGCGTTCTCGGCCGCACCTGCCTCAAGGGTCGCAATTGAGATAACTGAGGAAAATGCGCTGCCTTCGCTCTGGTTTTGCAATTAGTTAAAATTTATAGTCTTCTCAGATGAAGAAGGAAAATTGTAGGCCCCGTCTCGTAACACTTGAACTGTGATATGTAAAATAACAATTAAAGAAAGTAACATAGCAAAGTAGTAACCATATCCCATCTGTCAAGGGTTGTGGAATTGGCACCCTCGTTACAAACGAGGGCAACTCGTTTGTAACCCACCTCAAATGGGCAGGTATGTTCCAAGTAAAACTGAACGAAATCCCAGAGAACATAAGCTTTTATTATATAGTTCAGAACATGACAGTCCACCATGTATTACCACACGAGAAGGAGAATACAGCGATTCAGACCACACTGCAAAACAAATAGTCTATCCAAAGAGAACAGACGGCAAATTGTTATTGCTCAAAATATGTAAAAGTCGTAAATGATTGATACCTTATCAATATCTTCCTCTGTTAAAAGATGGGATAATTCGTCGAGTGACTGTTCTACTGTACTTGAGCAAGCCGACCTACAGGGCAAAAGAGAGAATTATGAAAAAGCATTATATCAAAAAGGAGACAGTGATTTATGACATATCGCACACTGTTGAAAAGAAGATTAGTAGTTAAATATTTTCGACGAACTTGAAGGTCTTTGATATTTGCACGTTCGTATTTTGAACGAGCACTTGTGCGCTTTGACGTTAACGTGGGTAAATAAATTATTGATTGATTGATTGATTGATTGATTGTGATGAGACAACAGGTTTAACTCCGACGAAGGGATAGCCCCCGAGGGGTATCCCTGGGAGTTCTTAGTGGGGATGTGCCTCCCTGTTCTCCAAATCCTCGCCCTATTTTAATAAAATAGTTGTAGCGTTGAAATTACTGGTTGGGCGAGTTGGGGTACAGGAGTTAAGGACTTATTTCTAACGGAGGAGGTTCATTTCTTCAGGAAACCCTCATTTCTACTATGGAGGTTTTATAGTTCCACGGAAAAAGTGTGTTTCTCTGAAGGAGGCTCATTTCTACGGAGAAGGCGGTTCTCTACGCGGAAGGCGCATTTCTGAAGACGAGATCAAATGAATTTTAAAACCATAGGCTTATTACTTGAAGAGACAGCCTTGTTTTATATTGTGAAGCTGTGGCACTCGGCCACCGTAATAAAACTACCGTTTCGCTTCTCTAATTTAACTTACCTCCTTTTAGCATCTTCGTAAGTCAGCATCTGTTAAAAGGAGTAATTAAAAACAAATCATCATCGGTCATTAATTCCTTGGGTAATAGAGGGTTTTTCTCGCTTGCGGCGAGGAGCATCCTCGACCATAGGCCGACTCTGGCACCCAGGGCCCAGTTGTTCGAAGGCCGATTAGCGCTTAACCTAGGGTTAAAATTAACTCTGATTTCTTTTTCTTGTGTTCAAAAGCATTTTCTCAGATAATTTTCTCTGTTATTTTTAGAGCTTCCAATCATCAACTTGCAGACAAAAAGAATTAAAACTAAAATACTTTTTAAGCTTTCAAATCTGAGTTCAAATCTCGCAATAACCCTGGGTTATCTTAACCCAGCTTCGAACAACTCGGCCCAGGGTACTGGGGTACACGAATGTCGGTCGTTTCGCCTACACTGAGGTCGATTCGTCTACTATCTCTTAGTTGTTTCGCCTACACATCTAAGGTCCATCAGTTACCTTAAGAATTGTAGGCGAAATGACCTGTTTCCGGGCACACAATTAGCTAAAGATGCATCGCCACTCGCACCAGAAGATACTCACCTCCCATTGTGATGCGCGAGAAACTCTATCAAACGAAACTTCCCAGCTTTGACGAAGGTCCTGAAAAAAAAGCGAAAGTTGGTTTACGTTACAGTTAGAGAATTCACAAAAGAACTGCAAACTTAATTTATGTTCTTTCAAACTCTTCTCATGTTGACCCATTATCGAGATTAACCATTCCGGAGCTGAATTCAACGGAAGGTAGAACGGCTTGCTAACAGAAAACTTTCATGCTCTTACATTTCATGGTTTGATATTGTTTGCTTCCTGAAAGGAAGACTGATAAATGTACCAAATTGTAAACGTAATAAATATTACAGAGACGCGCTTTCCGGCAACTAAACCCTTGGGCATTCTTCGGTCGAGTTTGCTTAAAACTCCTCGTAAAGGAAGCCAGCATATTATTCATCGGTCGTGTGGCCACTTTCACGCGGTCACAACTAAGGAAGATCCCTCGTAAAAGAGACAGCGAAATGTCCTTCATGGCGGAAGCGATAAGGCGTTGCTTCACACGTGTGCTAGCGAAAACAACTATCAGATCTATTTAAAGCGTTCGCGTGTAAAGAAATCTCACCGCAAACTCATCGTTGTCTTCATCAGTAACATTGTTTTCAACCATTTCTAAACTATGAGCCCCCGATTCGCTAGTTTTAGCTATTTTTCTGTAAGTCTTTGGACTCCAACTCTTGAATCGTGACAACTCCGAGCCATCTTCAAATGTTTCCGCTGTAGAGCCTTTGGTCTTGGGAAGAAGAAAATGACACAAGAGTCCTGTGGTCAAACACAGGCATGCCATGATGCCCAGCGGCAGTACTGGATGAGGCAACCGTTCAATCGTCATGATCAGCGGAGCCAAGCCTGCTCCGACGTATGCAAAACTCGTCGCCAGTCCCATTGCGGAACACCTACAAAACAAGCGATAGGCCATAAGTGACCATGATGTCATTCTACTAGAACTCAGTACCAACATGCTTCAGGATTTTTGGGGGGGACTGGTGGAAGAATTAAAACCTCACTGGAATTACTACATTTAATTAAGAAAGTAAAATTGAATTGTTGTAGGAACATGACGTGAATGTGAAAATTTCCTGTTGAATTTTGTAGCCTATCTTTGTCTTTACTTTATGAGTATATTCACTGATACATTATAACACTGATACACCGCATCTATGTATAATATTTTTCAACAATAATTGGGTTGTCCACAAAAACTCCTGAGAACTACAATAGTCTAACGCGTGTTTGCTTGATCTAGATCAATTTCTTCTTGAGGTGAGGGAAAAATGGAGCATGGATTAAACCACTCAATGCGAGGAGTAGAATGTGATAGCCAAACAACAACAACAACAACAACAACAACAAAAATAGCCTGCTGATACAGCCTCCTCTCATCGCTCCCCGTCGCTGGGATCAATCGCGAGAGAGACGTCTGCGTTTCGGCTTCAAAAAATTCCATACTGAGGTAAATCAATGTTTACATTTTCAATCTTGAAGAAGTGGGGTTCCAGATGTAAATTTGGCCAAGTCTTTTTTTCTATCTCTCGATATTTTTGTAAAATTTCTGCTACGAATTTGGTGAAGCCTAAGGAAATAACTGTGTCTTGGTAGCTCGGCGCGCTGTAAACTTGATCGTTGTGACCATTTGGTTTTTGTCTGTAATTTGCAAAGAACAGCTGAATGAGTAAAACTACTACGTCAACCAATCAGAGCTCCTGACCAGATTTTGGACAGAAGTACGTCGTCAGTAAGGAATTCTTTGGGCCACAACGCCGACGTCTCTTTGGCAAAACTTTCCTTGATGATAGGCGGCTTTATTCTCAGGCTCACAAAACTATTTACATTTACATTTACATCCCGGTATTAGGTCGGTAAAATCGTTAAGATATCACACAAACCGTCGCCTTGGAACTATGAATATCCAGAACACATTGGTGGGGAACTGTAGAGTGCTCTAACCACGACGCAACCCTTACTTTTTACAGTGAATTGTTTAAAACAAAATACAGTAATTACCTGACCACCGTTGGAAAGAGTTCAATGGAATACAAACTGAGTGAAGAGAGGGACACCATTACACATAGCCGGCCGATGAGTTGAATAACAGCTACGACGGTGCCATGCTCTAAAGTGGGGTGAAACTGGAGTTAATAGGGACGTTTAGATCCGAGGACGGCGACGGCAGTGAAAACGTCGCCGAAAAAGTAAATTCCCGTTCTGTTAATCTTCATCGCGATTACTCCAGGTCACTAACTTTGTCAAATGCAGGTGGATCCCCTAACCTTGAATTCCTAAGAACCATATCCAAGTTCACGGATAGAGAGAGGAAATTTCGTCGTCGCTTATGTACGTCCTCTGTACAACGTGAAATTGGGCATTTTCAGGTCGTAGTCGTGCAGTGACGGCAAAGGAATGTACAAAAGAGCGTGATGCACGTGCAAAATTGTTGTTTTGGTAATTAAACCTATTGCTTTTTTGACGTTCTCGCCGCCGCCGTCGCCGTCGTCGGATCTTAAGGTCCCTAATCTAGTCGCTTCACACCCGTTCTTTATTTCGATCGTTGCGCGACGACTCAAAGAACGGCTGTGAAGCAGAATATAGATAATCGAGAATGAAACAACATATGGTCAGAAAAAGCCTGTGTATAGACCCCCCTTCCCCTCAGGAAAAATTGGTTTTTGCTGAGGGCACTGGGGAGGGGGGTCTGCACACACAGGATAGGTCATAAGGGAGGGCACACTGTCACTTATTTTCTTGCGGCCACCTTAGTACGACACCAACCCCCTTACTATAGTCTACTTACACAGACGCATTTTCAGATCTCCGGAGAGTACTGGTGGCGATCTTTTTTTTTCGATTTACCGGATTTACTGATCTTTCAGCCTCGTCCCCTGTCGTCCTCGGCGATTTCGGATCGATGTGCCTTCAGCTATCAAGCTTGTTGGGAGAATTGGCTATCCCGTTCGGCTCACTCTAGCATGTACTGACTTGTAGACGAGGCTGCCGATCCTTGTGCAGTGCTGTAATGTAGGGCGCACGCCATTTAAACGAAACACCCTGAGGGTCCTCTAATGTAGGTTTCTTCACCGCATGATCGCCACCAAATGGCATGAAAAATTTGAGGTTCGAAACAACGGCGATTTGGCAGCGATAAATCCCCATGAAATCACCATAAAATCGCCGCTAGGTTACACGGGCAATTACAATCGCATCAAGAATAGTAAGAAAACAGAGTCTGTGTAAACGGGCCTTTAGAAGAGAAGTTTTTGAAAGTTCCCTTGTGCAACAAAGCCTATTTCTCCGCCTTTGCGTTCCAATGGTAGTAAAAGATGACAGCTATTGCACTACGCTGTTAAAAACAGTAAGGCAGCTGTGTAAAAAGCTTATTCAGAGAAAATTTATTTTAACTGCCACCATAAACAGTGGCAGCTCTACTAAACGAACAGCTCTCCACAACGGCTTTTGTGTTTCGTTCCGGCGGATAAATAGGCAGATTAAGCCAAGACAATGCAACGTTAACACAGAGCAAGAAAGCGCGCGGAAAGGACCGAATCCGACTTTCGGCGCTAAATTTGCCCTTTTTAACTCGTGGGGACGCGTGAGCGTACCACGAGTTATTGCAGGGACAGAGATATGCAAATGAGTCACTCGCTCACTCGTAGTAGACGGACTTCGTAATTAATCGGGTCCGAACTCGAGAGTGCGAAGATCTATCGTTTCCGAAGAAGCATGCGCTCTCCGAAGTTCGGTGGGATCAAATTCTTCGCTGAGAGAGTGCATCGTTGGGCGTTCGCTGCTCAGACTTGTTTTGTTTGCTTATTTGTTTTGTTGTTCTTCTATAAATATATACCTAAATAAATGTTATTAAATAAAGTGCAATAAACAAAAAGAAAAGTATTGTGTTTCCAGAGCAAAGATAGTACATTAAATATATTGTACATGGATAAACAATCTGAATTTCTATCATTTCCTACAATTTACTGTGGGAAAACCAGAGTTGATAACCATTTGATTATTTGCTAAACAACGTTCCCACGAGTTGACGATAGTCTTTCTTTGATTCCTACTGGTCATTGGTCAGCTCGGTTTTAAGGTATGCATGGGCCCTCTCCTCTGTTGTCGAAATAAAAAACTGGACCAAGTTAACTTCCGCAGACGTCTGGACTGTTACTAACGAAAGGGAAAAAATTGGCCAATAGCTGACCGGCGCCCCCCGGTAACGACCCCAGAAAACAACTGCAAGGAGCATTTTGGCTCCGGTTCCTCTCTTGTTTCTAATACTTATACCTCTTCACTGTCGTTTAAAACTCTCCACAGTGGCCACTACCTCTGCCACGAAGTTGGCCGTCGAGGAGAGGTTCGACTATAGTTTTAAATTTCATTCAAAGTGCAATTAGGAGAGAGATCGAAACTACTTAACCCTCGTTCGTTTTATGAGATTTTTCCTAGAGGATAAAATATCAGCATCTGACGTTTTCAGTAGCCGTTCGTTCATCCCTCGCGCGCATTTTGAGACAAGTTTAGTGATGGTCCGTTTCTATGGTTACGAGATATGACGTCATAAGTAGCAGGTGGTCAAGCCATTTTTGAGTGAAAGTACATGTTTTTTCAACTTTTTTCAACAATGAAAGTAAATCGTGTGGCTAAAATCATGCAAAGTGTTTATTTATGTGTTATTTTTCATGTAAAGCGCAAAAAATTACCACTTCTCGCGGTTTTAACCTGATTTCTAATTCTTGGTAAAATCCAAGATAGCGGCCAAGATGGCGACCATTGTTGGTGACGTCACAGGCCTCCAGCAGCGTCACCACCCAAAAAATATACCTCATCTTGTTAAGAAGATCAAAGGCTTTCCACTAAACGTTAAATCGTTTCAAAATACTGCAACATATCAAAAACTCCGGGGAGGGGTTCCATCCACGCCCCCCCTTGTACCACGGTGGGGGTATGACTTTGCTTGTACGTCCGAGGGTTAAAGTCAACACTTGGCACTAACATAATCAATACCTGCTTTTAAAAATGCAACGGAGGCAACGGAAAATATCAAACAGAAGACGCCTGCTAGAATCATGGAGATGACGGTACACACACGACGATCAAACCTGCAAAATAAAGCAAAATATAAAAGTGAAACACCTTGCTGTCTAAAGAGGCAAATAGCCCAGCAGGAAGGTTTTAAACCCGTCTGTCCTTTTTGAACGTACAGTCGAACCTCCATGTGCGACCACCTCCCAAATGTTCTCAGTCAAAGACTTACACTGAAACCTCTCGTAAACGACCACCTCCTGTAAGCGACCGCGACCACTTTTTGGGCTGACAGTTTTAGAATTTTCTATTGTTTTCAACCTCCAGTAAGCGACCACTTGACACATGGTCTTACTAAACAGTGAAGTACATTGTTAAAATGGACAAAAAGGAATATATTCTTTCACCCTGTTCTTTGGCTTCCACTATTGTCTACACATCTATTACTGTGTTTATTAGTTCGATCTATAGATAGATAGATACTTTATTATAAACACCATTGCAGCCATAGGCTGAATTACGGGATATTTACAAATACTGATGATAAGAAAGAGAAAATAAGAAAATTATCTACGTCTTATAGACATGGCTAAAAATAAAACTTTTCTTCAAACGCTCGGTTTTACATAGGGGGAGAGTGAAATCACTTTTGCGTCTCAGTGCATATTTACAACTCTTCCTTTGGGGGAGGAGGCTATGGAGACTGTGGGTGGGGTTATAGACGATCTCGTCAAACAGATCAATTGAAATCTTTTCTCTCCTCTCATGAAGTTTCGGTAGGCCAACTGTTTCTAGTGCTACACTATATGACAGGTCAGGATAGATGATTCTGAATGCCCTTCTTTGGATCCGTTCCAAATCTTCACTGATGCAGTTTGGTAGAGAACGATGGAATACAGGACTTGCGTATTCCAGGACGGGCCTAATACATGTCACATAGAATTGCACCAGTTCACTTGGTGCCACTCCGGATCTCTTGAGTTGACGTAAAAAGTAGAGACGAGAGGAACATTTTCTAATTAGTTCAGAGGTCTGCATGTTCCACTTTAAATCGTGGCTAATGGTCACGCCTAGCAATTTGGCACTGGTGACTAATTCAAGGGGTTTAACTACAATATTATAATTACATTATTATATTATATTATAACTACAATACTAACCATAACTCTTGGGAAAAAGACTCAGATTTTCAGGGTTCAGTTTAAGAAGTAACGTTTTTGTTCTTCAGACGTTTTAGGGACATTTCTGTACAAGAAGTCACGTACACTTTATTTAAGTACAATTTTTTATCCACAAATTTATAGCGCGCGTTATCTAATTAAGTGCACTTCCGTAAATGAACTGTCACATAGAATAGCTAATGATTTTGTGAATAAAACTACCAGTAATTGGCAGGGGAAAGTACACTTTCATTATTTTTGTGGAATAAATATTCCACTCCAGGTCGACTTAAAAATTTTGCCCTTGCGGTCCGACTCTCATAAGCGACCACCAAGCCATTGCATTTTGGATGGTCACTTACGGGAGGTTCGACTGTATTTTCTTTTTTACAAAGAAAATGCTATCAAGTCCACAAAAATTGCCATTCTTCGTCTCCCAATAATACATTTTTAGGACGTTTCCAAGGGTGACAGGCGCACATTTCTTTCAATCACTCTTTTTAAAACCTACACATAATTCCTTAACGAACTGGTTATCCTGTGCCTTTTGTCTTACTGCCTGACCCTTCAGTGGTACAATAGAGACCTTTAGATTCTAGGACGAGAACGACTACGAGTACGAGATTTGACCTAAAGTTTTCTTGCGTATTCTCAAATTATAGACACCCTTGAAAGCTTCCTTGCACTTCTTTTTCACCAAAAAATTAGCACTGTTATCTTTACTGAAGTAGCTTAAGCCATCATATCTCCAGGCCGCAAAATGATAAAACATTTAACACTTTATAACTTGTTTCCGTTAGAGCGACATTCTCGGTAAAACTCGTAGTAGAATCACGACGGCTATCACGTTTTCCCGCCAAAATGATGCTGGTTCACGCGTGAGCAATACTCAGCATTGAGAAAATCTCGTACTCGCAGTCGTCCTCGTCTCAGCATCTAAAGCTCTCTAATAGCTTGTTTCGGCCGCAACGAGTAAATAACTAAAGAATAACAATGAAAATGATAAAGATTATGATAATATAAATAATGATAATGATAATGATGATGATATTGATAATGATAATAATAAATGTAACAAACGAGATGGAAAAAGGACTGGCAATACTTACCAAGTAACGAAGACAAGAAAAACAGCATAACCAAAAAGATTTACAAGTTCACGAACAGCGAAGTTAGCGTAGAAATTACTTAGCAGCTGAATGAGGCTCGTGTTTAATCCACGAAACAACATTCCTACAGCAAACCTGGAAAGATAAAAAGAATATAAATACTTGAGAAAAGCAACAGTTGACTCCCCAGGGGGGCGGAAATCTCTCCCAAACGAACACCGGTGATAGGCTGGTAACCGTGTTAAATTTCCCAGTGGATAACGAAAGGACAGCTACTACCAGGGTCAAATGGATGAGACAGTCCTGCCAAAAAAGAACACTTTTTCGCTCCATGCCCTCAGAGGAAATACAAGGGATTCTCTACCCCTTCCCCCGTTTTAAGTTATCATTGCATTTCTTGGATCCTTGCAACTTTGATAAAAGGGGAGATGGGCTAGGCTCGATTACCAGCCGATGTTTGGGAAATGAGCCCGCACTCTCCCTCCCCTGTCTATTCTCGGGGAGGACCAACAGGACAGCGGAAATCGAGCCTAGAGATGGGGAGGAAACATGGAACGTCTGATTAACAGCTGATAAACACCTTTTGGGGGCCTAACAAGTTACAGTGCCTCAAGCCATGTTGCAGCTGGTTGTAGCGAACTGAAATACAACTCATTACTATCAGTTACAACACAACCTGTCAGACTTGTTCACATGAACCTGGTCGACATAGTTAGAGCGTGCACCATATACATCCAGCAAACTACAAGCAAAACATCTATGCAACGACGGTTCACCAAGACGTGGTTGATTACATGGAATGTTTATCAGAACATTCCCACCCACCTAGTGAGTGCTTAGTAAAATCTACTGTAAACTGTAAACGTATCTGTACAAAACTGACGCTCCCTAACTCACCAAGCAAACCCCAGAACAATGGTTGTTTTCCGAGGTTCCTTAAGACGAAGAAAAGTGAAACAGCCCGTTCCGCCTGATTTAGGTGGCAAGTAGAACTTTTCCCACAAGGACAAAAAATCTCGGTATTTAGAAGTTTGCCTCTGATCCTCAGTCACAGCTCTCTCTAACAGACCTTGCGCTTCACTCGTACATCTACTTGAGGCTGAGTGAAGAAGGACCCATCGAGGCGACTCGGGAAGAATCCTGGGGAGAATAAAAGTTCCACGTTATTCGAGAACACAATAATAGTTGTATAATAACGTTTAAAAAAATCCGAATCTGAATCTGAATATGAAACTAAAAGAAAAGTGGAGATAGAAGACGTGTGTATGGAGCTGGATTGTAGAATTACTCACTTCAATAGCAAAATACCAAGTAAGATTGGAAGTGTCATGCTCAGCATTAAATTTCGACGATTCGCAACAATGTAGCCAACGCCAGCTAACGACATTATAGCGAGGGTGGTGGCTGCCCACAAAATAGATAAAACAATAGCTCGTGCCTTTGGACTAACGTACTCAGCCGCCAGGATAAACAAGACTGGAAAGGCACCTCCTTTTTCAGAAAAGAAAACACAAAATAATTGAGTTAGTTATTCTAATATACACCTCAATCAATTTTTTCCCTTTTTTGGTAATTTTCGATGATGTTCGTTTTTTCCTTTGTGTGGTAGTACTCTTCTAGCTGCTTTCGCAGGATTTGTTTAGTATACGTAAAGTCAAACAAGTAAAAACAGCAAAACAAACAAAAAAAACCCAGTTGGTTCGACAAGAGTTAGCTTAGTTGGTAAACCTCTGCATAGCGGGAGGCCGCAGTTCGATTCCCTAAAGCCGGCGGACTTACAACGCAGAGAACTTTGAACGAAAGCACTACTTCAGCTACTTTTCATCTGCCAATGGATTGTGGCTCGGATGACCACGCAGAAATGACAGGTGAGGAGGTGACAAGGAAAATAAAGCTATATTCACACTATACCCAGTGGCGGATCCAAGGGAGGGACCCCCGCTTATTTTTAGACCAAACTGAGGCCCGAAGGGTCGAAAAAATTTTTTTTTGAGACCGGGCCACCCCCTTATCTAAGGGTCTGGATAACCGCCCCCGTATGATCCACCACTGTTACTGGATAGCATTTCGTGCCGACACGAAAGAAAACCTCCCAGGGGGATTACTTGGGTTCATTTTTGCTGGGTATGTGCCGCTGGCCTCTCAGAACCCCTACCCCATTATAGTCTATTCTGTGGTCATATTATAGACTCCATCTTAGTCACTTTGGGAAAAAAGTAATTTTCGTAATCCCAACTTAGTCACTTTCTGTTTATGCAACTACCTTATAAAGTCTTTTAACTTGGTCATCCTGAAGTGAAGTGACACATTTGTTAAACTTAATTATGTGTAATTCTTTCTACTTCGAAATCCTTACATACCTGAATTTCTGACCCCAAAAATCCTGAAATGTGCGACCCCATTCTAGGAGGGTCTCAATGGGGTTAACCGATAGGCGTAAAACGGCCAAAAATTTAGTCGATAGCCGTAAAAATTGAAAAATTTTAACCGTTAGCCGTAAATAGGGTAAAAAAGAGTTAACCATAAAGGAAATTGTTACCTAGATTTGCTTCTTTTCAGGAAGGTGCTAAACTCACTTATGGTTGCGTTTTTTATTTCCCGACTACGGTGTGACTCCGTACGCACGTTAGGCGAAGCGCATTTTAGATGTTAACCAAGACTTAGGCTCCTTTTCCGGCGCTCTCTCGGGGAACTAATTTTTTCTATAGCGAAAGTGTGGCTTCTTGCTGGGGATTAAAATTTGAAATTTTCTGGAGGTCGTGCTCTCGAAACACTAGTGAAACAACACGCAGAGATGTCACTGTTTGTAAAACACGTTGCCGATAAACAACATTTCCTTGTTTTTCTCTGACGCTACGGTAGACATTATGCCTAGGCCCTGTACGGCGTCTTCCCACGCAATCTCGGTCAAGGCATTTCGGTGGAGAACTCGCTCGGACCACGTGACCCGAAACGCATTAGCCGCGCGGAATAATGCAGCCTACGGACAAGGCAACGGCAGACAGTCGTTCCGTACAGTCCTTCGCTATCATTAAAAACATCGGACACAGGATTTTGTTATTGGCCATTTTCACACTAGAGCTAGAAATCGATCATCCGTATGAGACTAGCCTGTGTACAATCGCGCCCTCCCCACAGACACCCCTTCTCCGATTTTTCCTGGGGGGAGGGGGCGGCTGTACACAGGCTATCTGTAACGGATAATCCCGTCTTCAAAAGTCAGGCGGATTGTTCATTCAAAATTAAAACTATTCCATTTTCAAATTAAGACGTATTGCCTATCTGACGCGAATCATCAAACGGATAACCCGTCTCACACGAATAATCCTTCTCTAGTGTGAAAACGGCCATTTCTGTTATGATGAATGTCGCGCCCCGCCCTTGAGTTGGGCGTTTGCGTGTCTGCTTTTGCTTTTTCACAAAGATTTTTTTTAAATTGACTATTGACATTTCTATGTGTAAAATAATATTAGAAGTGGAATACTTTATAAAAAGTTTGATCTATCAAATGTTAAAATTTTTCAAAAGAATTTCATTCCGAGATGATCCGAAGACCTTTATTTGGATTTAGATACAAAAAAAGTACGGGTTAATTAATATTTAACTAATTTAAAACAAAAGAAGTTAATTTTTAACTTTCTCGTTAACCGTAACTGGAAAAAATTAACCGATAGCCGTAAAAGAGCCAAAAATTTAGCCGATAACCGTAAAAGCCACCACCCCATTGAGGACCCTCTTCTAGTAACTCTTACAAATATGCAATCCTAATAATAGTCAATTCAGTCGTGAAAATGCGACTCCATCCAACGGCACATACCCATTAGCCTATTACTAGGAAGTACCCCCCCCCCCCGGGGGGGAACCTATCCGGTATAGTGTAAACACCTAAGGCATATAACTGGAACAAGTCGTTCCCACACATCGAACATCCTGCCGGAGCGGTTGGCCAGGAGGGTTTGGTGAACTAAATCCCAATCCTCATTCCAGAATATTTCCGTGTCAGTGGGTTGCATTCCCCTTTCTTATTTATTTACTGCTGCTACGGTCCAAATACCTGTTCGCACTACACCAAAGTGTGGCAGCCTATCCGAGATGTGACGCTCCAACGATAGGCGCGGCGCAGCTTCGCTTCGTTACAGAAATCGCGCCGAAATCACCGCTCTTATGTGTGAACAGAAGCCCTATCCGGTATGATTTTCGCGCCGGCGCAAAAGCTATATGGCATAGTGCAAACATGGCCTAAAACGTCATCTTCGTTATCCGTTTAAATGGTAAGATCATTACAAAACCTTCGATTTCTACAGTGAGCATAAATTACATCCCGGAGCTCACGGTAATGTTTAAAAATGCTAAACAGGTGAGCGACATACCTGCTGCAAATCCAACAACTCCACGTAGGATGGCGAAATTTACCAGGCTATCGAAAGCAAATGCGCTGGACAGACCTCCAATAAAAGCAATGAGAAGACATGCAAACAGAGTCTTCAGTCTACCAATAGCGTCCGCCACTAGACACAATATTATGGAGCCCATCATCATTCCTATGTAATTTGACATTTCTAACACATGCCTCGTATTGAAAAGGGGACTGGTCTGAAAAAGAGATCATCAACATCACCATCATTAGCCTGTGCCAGGGCGAAAATAAGACGCGCGCTGCTTGGGAAAGGGGGTGGTGGCGGCCAGAAAAATAGCTAAAAATGGGAGAGAGCCCGGTCTCTCCCCAGCCCCCGCGCGTTTTTCGCATTTCTTTTTACTGAACGACTTTTCACCACTATCTCGGAGCCTGGAACAGGCTACACCATCATCATCATCGTCTTCATCATCGCCGTCATTGTTATCGTCATCATCATCATCGTCATCATCACTAGGGAGCTTTAGCGACTACGACGGCGACGGCAACGAGAAGGTCGAAAAGACAAATTGGTGTAATAAGCAAAACATGAACAACCAGGAGCACACTTTTAACAGCAGTGATGGAAAATTGTAAATGGTTTGGAGCTTAAGAATACGGACAGCAATGGTGTGATAAGACAAGTTTAAACATTTTTAACATCACTTGTCACGGTAGACATTAGGTTTTGTATTAACCCTTGTGACAGTCACGTGCAGGTGATTAAGATTTCTGTATTATTAACAAATATATTTGTAGGTGCACAAAACACGTTTATTTAAGTTTTATTCGAGCCTGAGATTGCCCACATTTGTTTGCCCTACGGTGTCGAAATCCTGAAGGCGAACTGAAATAGTTTAAGCGACTCTTATTTTAACCATTGACGTCGACCATACAACTTTGACCGTGAGTGAAAGTAGTCGCGTGTTTTTATTTGACAACCGCTGTCACTCGATGTCCAAGGGTATGCAACTATTTTTGTATCAGCTCACGTAATTTTCTAACATAACATTTTCGTTAAAATTTTACAATATCAATTTAAATTGGTTTCTACATTATAATATGCAAATAGTTTTGTAATATTTTTGGGTCACAGACGACAAAGAAATCGCACAAGAGACAATGGAACAAAGGACGGTGAATAAACTGTTTACAAATTACAGAAGAATTGTCCGCCCCGTTTCGACCCAAAAAGTGGTACACGCTTTTATATCTGAGAACAATAACACACAAATGAGCCCTGAAACAAAATAGCCCTCACAACGATCGACTTAACATGAAAAAATAAGAAAGTAAAAATAACAAAATAAAAAATAAAAATCGCCATCTAATATATTATCACATTTAATTATACCTTAGTTCCTCCTCCGATTCCACTACTATTTTTTTTCGGGTCTTTGGTTCCCATCGCCATTAGACAGTTTTCTGTGCAAGAAATATAACATTATATACATTGTAGCCAGCGAATACAATTCTATAAACTCCTTAAGCCCAAGAGCAGGACACCTGCCGACAAGACAAATTCAATGTTTTGAATATTATGACCACACTGTGAATAATAAACGTCATAAGGTTGTAGATCAAATCCTCACCTTGGGAATATAAAGGAAAATCCAAATCGCCCTGCCATTTATCATAAAATTACCTAATTACGGGCTATCAGTGACTTTGGGGTTCTCAACCATAAAAAGGCGATCATGAAGATATAAAAAAGGATGCAAAATTAAATAGACATTTGAAACTGCTTACCTGTATTGTTACAAGCTCCACTCTTGTGTTCTTGGCTAAGAAAATCTACAATGATCATTTGATATGCTAGAGGAAATATTATAACAGTTAACAGAGATATATTTCGATAGAGAATTGTTTTCAGGCCGGTAAACGTCGCGAAAAAACTGTCGACAGGCGAAGGATTGGCCATGTTGGTTTCCTTGTTTAAAATTCTGGTTGTCACGCTAGCTTGTGCGTGACTCCCTTTCGTGATGTACTCGTTCGCCTACGGGAAAGAGAAAGTATAGCCTGTGTACAGACGCCTCCCTCCCCTCGGAATCGTCTATCTCTCCAATTTTTTCTGAGGGGAGGGGGGCGTCTGCACACAGGCTACTGCTCTATAAACGCCGTTCTGGCAAGTTTAAAAAGTTTTAATGTTTTGGTTAGCCGTTTTATCGAGTCTCTTACGATAAATTCCCATACAAATCCTTTTTACCTGGCTTCTAGTAGGCTGTTGTGATTCTGGATGCCCTGTGGTAACGTCTGCGAAGCAGCCCTGATATCCTTGTTCCAGAGTTTAGTTTCGTCTGTGGCGTAGGCTACTGCAATCATTGCAGGTGTTTAAGCAGCGACGTTTTTAGCGCCGAACGTAAACCCGAAGCTAAGTAATTTTTCCTCTTTTGATAAGCCTTGACGCTACCAAATTTGTATTGCTATGTGCAGCCTTTACTTTATAGAGACCATTGGCCCAAAAATGTGTTCCAAATCACCTCTCAAGAGTGCATATATAACGTCCACAAAAAGACTAAAAACTCCCCCGTTATAGCCTCAGTTCCCTGGGATACACAACAAAGTTTTATATGGTAAGGCTCCTCCCCGAGCTCCAACCCCTTGCCTTTCTATATACCATTTTTGACAAAAACGTTACCCCTTTCGTATACCAGTCTTTTATATATAAATAAATCACTGACAAAAGAAGAACTTTTTCTCGACTTTTACACAGCCACAAAATGTATCTGGTAGCCCTTTTGGGGCTTTTTACCGACCGAAAATGACTGCGAAATACTCCACACTTTCATTGCGGGCGACAAGCGGAGCCTGCAATCCTAATGTCCAGGGCCCGGTTTCCTCGAAAGATGGTAAACTTTCACCAAAGATTAAGCCAAATTTTAAGCAAGGTTTTCTTGTCTAAGGATATACAACTCCCAGGAGGTACTCTTTTGAATTCTTGGTGGGGGTGTGCCGCCCGGTCCTCCAAATTCTCACCCCATTTCAGACTAAAAAATGTCATTGAACACCCGTTTTCAGACCTGGCCTCTAAGAAATAATGTCATCTTTACTTAAATTATTAGAACAACAGATTCCAGATTCCAGACCAAACTAGGTAAAGGCTATACCCGTTTTCAGACCTAAAAGCCGGAAAAGCCCTACCCTTTGGGGAAACACAGTTCTATATGGCTTATGTAAGGGAGTACCCCCCACCTCGTGATGTAACTGGAGCTTATAAAGACTGTATTGTTGAGCCTTTACTTCAAAATACAGTTCTGTAATGGTAACACAAAATGTTGCTCTAAGCAATACGTAGGAAGGTAAAATACAAAATCGAAACAAACTTTTTAATCCTGGATTAGAGCTAATCAGCCAACCCAGAATCGGGTCCAGTTATTATCACGCAGCCAGCATTCCTTTGGACTTCCACTGAATGGAATGCGCATAACACAATTTCATCACGCGCGTTTTGACCACCTGTCACGTGAAACTTACGCAAAGCATGCACAGTGTTAGAGCAAAAGCGTTTTAACCTTTGATCGTTGTCGCCCGCGCTCCGTAACCTTAAGTTAGCCATGTCGGGCGGAGGTTCACCGTGAAGGTCATTATATAGAGGGAGTATCCCATCGAGGATCAGCCCAAGCTTATGCTAAAACTATAGAGACGAAAAGAGAGTATGTGAAAAGCGGAGGTACGAGAGACGAACCCCTAAAAACGTCTGCGTGAGAGGCTACCGGTTGTCTATAATTAGATTTATCATACTTAAGTTCGCCTGGGATACCTTGGGCTCATTGTTGAGCATTCATTTAAGGCATATGCATGATGTTAAACGACTAATATCGACAGGTGTACAACATTTTTGAATGGTGTTAAATATTGTAACCGTTTATTCCACATTTACTTGGCTTTTCTTCGACCTTATTTAAGGTCAGTTCATCTTTACCTAACCGAAATATTAGCAGATAAATGATCCATCCATAGCCGTCCAATCATCCTTGCCGAGAACTGCTTGCGGTTCCCAGCCAACAGTAGTCTGCTACACAGCCGTTTTTAGGTCTTTTTAGTGTTGTTTGTGGGGAGGAACATTGCGTGACGACACTAAAAACGAGTTTGTAGCAGTCTGAGCCAACAACTACCACATGTGTACGGTGGAGCTGCCGATTAAACATATGGCGCGCCGCCCAAAACTAGATCCGAGTTTACCGCGAACCTCTAACCGCGGTTTGCGGTTACCCGTTGGCGGTTCGACGTTCAAACATAATTCGATTTAGATTGGCGGTGGATTAAAGAAGTGGATTCTGGTTTATTTTTCCATTTATCAGTAAAAATAAAAGAAATCTACGGTAACACTGGGTTATCTAGCAGCAAAGAGCTGTAAATTCTTACATTAGTTCTTCTGGCAAATTTACGGCCGCCATTTTGAATCGGCAGCCATGAATGACACTTGTTTTCAAGATCCAATAGGATTTATTAAATTTAGCATTTCGCCTGAATTTGCGCCTCTGTTAATGGATAAAGACTTGCTCCACAAGATTTTTGTATCATTGCGTGGGATAAAACAAGAATTATACGCTAAAAGCTTTCAGGTAAATGACATACGTGAAAACCTATCTCCCCACGTTGAAAACGCACGTCGTAAACCTCAAACGTGACGCGAAAGACTTGTCACGTGACCTCCAGCGGTTAGAGGTTCGCGGTAAACTCGAATCTAAAACTCTCTATTATTTGATGACGTGATGTTTAAAGCGGCGTCCAACATGTCCTGTGAAATGAGCTGTGATAGAGTCTACTTATCATTGTTATTTTTCACCTTGATATCATTTTGCTACCGTGATGCAACATTTTCTACCTTGATATCATTTTAATACCGTGCTGTGACATTTTCTCAAATGATGTCAAGGTAAAAAGTATTTCATCACGGTGGTAAAATGATATCAAGGTAGAAAATGTCACATCACGGTAGTAAAATGATATCAAGGTACAAAAAATCACATCACGGTTGTAAAATGATATCAAGGTAGAAAATTTTCGATCACGGCAGTAAAATGATATCAAGGAATAACAAGTCACATAACGGTACGTTATAAAATGATATCAAGGTAAAAAATGTTCCATTACGGTAGTAAAATGCAATCAAGGCGGAAAACTGACATTACGGTAGTAAAATGATATTATGGTAGAAAATGTTATATCACCGTAAGAAAATGATATCAAGGAAGAAAATGCTCCATCACGGTTGTAAAATGATATCAAGTTATAAAAAGTCACATTACGGTATTAATGAAGTAAAATGATATTAAGGTAGAAAAGGTCACATCACGGCAATAAAGGTAAAAAATAACAATGGTTGGTGGATTCTGTCACAGGAACATTTCATGGGACATGTTGCCCCACATTAAACATCGCGTTAACAAATAATTTTGAAACAAACGGGCGCCATATAATTAAAGGAGTGCTTTCGCACTCGCCTCGGCAGGAGGCAGGGTCTGTGATCGTAAATGAGACCGTGCTGGTTATGTCATGCTGATGAGCCCTAACAAGGACGTGCTGTCTAAAGTATTATTTTAGATTAATTGTCATGTCCACAAATTTGGGATATAGAGAAAGAGAAAGACAGAGAAAAAGAGAAAGTAGGCGACAGGCTAACTGGAAAAAGAGCGACTGAGAGCTAGAGCGAGAGTAAAAAAACAAAGGAGATTTTTTTGTTAGGAGAACAACATTGAGAATTTTGTAGCGGCGGTGAGAAAATGAGAAATGCTAGCGGCCACCAATGTGAAAATGAGCGGCAGTGAAAAGAACACGTACGACATTTCCTTCATAAAACGTGTAACTAGGAAGTTTCTGGAGTTTCACGTTGTAGTCGTGCAAAACAAGGGCAAAGAAATGTACAAAAAAAGTGTGCCGCACGTGCAAAGTTGCTTTTTTGCAATTTAGACCTAATGTTGTTTTAATATTCACCATTCTCGTTGCCTTCGCCGCTTAGCATTACACAATTTTATATTTTGTTTAAGCAAACTATAAAAATTATCGAGAGCTTTGCTCCGTTTAGCCCTTACTAAATCTATATATTAACCTTTACCAACAGGAGAGATATGATGACGTCATTTATTATCAAAATAGGATCTGGAACGGCCGCCTTCTTGGATCCGCCATTTTGAGTTTATATAAAAGTATTCGATTTTGCCGACATAAATTGATGTAATCGTGATAGTCAGAAAGATTAAGGCCCCCAAATTAAGAACAGATTTGTCGTTTCCTGGCATATGCAAAACAGGAAAGACAACAATATTCTTTGAAAGTTTCCTTCTAAAGTGGATGTCTTCAAGGTATGATATCTTCAAATCGAGGTACTCTTGCAGTTAGTCTAAGTCGCTTCCTTTCATGTAATTGGCTTTTTGTTTGCAGTCACCGTTTAGTTTAGTCAGGAAGTTATCTTTACTCTGGATAGATGAGATAGATAGATAGTTTATCCACCTTAAAAACCTTCAGTTAAAGGACTAAACTGCAAAAAAGTTTACAATAAATACGATTTCTTACTATTTATAATTTTAAAATTAATATAAAATTATTTGAGAATAAAGATTAGCGATAAGGCAACGAATGACGTTTCGATGACTCCATGTCATAATTTTCAAATTCGTGTAGTGATGATTAAATAGGGAGTTGCGTGCGAAAGATAAGTTGCATTGCATGCAAAGATCCAGCCCAGCCAATATAATGAAGTGCCAAAGTTGACCATACATTTGGGTTTCTGGCTTTTTCTTACTCTCCGAAAGGCTTTTTGCGAGTACTCAGGGGAGATCTCTTCTCCACTAATTATGTACAAATGCTTTCGAATGAGTTCTCCTAAGTGCTGTGTACTTTGTTCTTTTGTTCCTTTGTTTCCTTTCTCCTTTGTTCTGTTGTTCCTTGTTCCTTTGTCTCCCTGTTCCCTCTTCCATTGTTCTGTTCTTCCCTTGTTCCCTTCTTCATTTCTCCCTTGTTACCTTGTTTTAAAACATGGTATACTACAGATACTCTTCCCATGTTCCCTTATTCCCCCTGTTCCCTCTTCCGTTGTTCTCTTCTGCCCTTTTTCCTTTGTCCCCTTGTTCTTTTTTTCCCTTGTTAACTTGTTAACATGGCATACTGCAGATACTATTCCCATGTTCCCTTATTCCCCTTGCTCCCTGTTCCGTTGTTCTCCTCTTCCCTTGTTCCCTTGTTTCCCTGTTCTCTTGTTCCCCTATTCCCCTGTTCCCTTCTCCCCCCTGTTCCCTGTTTTGTTGTTCCCTTCTTGCCCCAGTTCCCCGGTTTCCTAGTTCCCCTGTTCCTCTGTTCATTTGTTTCTCTGTTCCCTTGTTCCCTAGCTCCCCTGTTCCACCGTTCAGTTTTTTCCCTGTTTTGTTGTTACCCTGTTTGTCTGTTCAGTTCATCCCCTGTTCCCTGTTCTCTTCTTCTCTTCTTCCCCTGTTCTTTTATTTTAATTTCCCCTGTTCCCTTCATTCCCTGTTCCCCTGGTCTTTTGTTCCTCGTTGCATCTGTTCCCTTGTTCCGTTGTTCCCTTGTTCCCCTGTTCCATTGTTCCGCAAAATCTCTTGTTTTTTTGTTCCCTTGTTCCCCTATTCCCCTGCTCCCTGTTCCCTTGGTCCACCAGTGCTTTTGTTCCCTTGCTCACTCGTTCCTCTGATCCCCTGTTCCCTTGTTACCCTTTTTCCCTGTTATCCTTTTCTCCTGTTCCCGTCTTCCTGTTGTCCCAGTTGTCACTGTTGTCATCGCTCTCACTATTGTTACTGTTGTCAAGGTTGTCCCTGTTGTCACTGTTGTTGCTGTTGTCACCGTTGTCACTGTTGTTGCTGATATCACTTTTGTCACTATTGTCACTGTTGCCAAAGTTGTTGTCATTGTAGTCACTGTTCTTGCTGTTGACACTGTTGTCACTGTTCTCGATGTTCTCAGTGCTGTCACCTTTGTTGCTGTTGTCACTGTTGTTGCTGTTGCCGCTATTATCACTTTTCTTGCTCCTGTCACGGTTGTTGCTGTTCTTTTTGTTGTCGCTGTTGTCGCCGTTGTCCTTGTGGTCGCTGTTGTCGTTGTTGTCACTGTTGTCGCTGTTGTCACTGTTGTCGTTGTTAATGTTTTTGTTGTCGCTGTTGTTAATGTTGTCACCGTTGTCCCTATTGTCGCTGTTGTCACTGTTGTCGCTGTCGTCCCTGTTGTCGCTGTTGTCAGTGTTGTCACTGCTCACACTGTTGTCGCTTTTGTCACTGTTATTGCTGTTGTCCCCGTTGTCGCTGTTGTTATTGTTGTCACTGTTGTCACTGTCGTCGCCTTTGTCACTATTGTCTCTGTTGACGCTGCTGTCACTGTCGTTGCTGTCATCACTGTCGTCCCTCTTGTCCCTGTTGACACTCTTTTCACTGTTGTCTCTGCTGTCACTGTCGTTGCTATTATCACTGTCGTCCCTGTTGTCGCTGTTGTCACTGTTTTTGCTGTTCAGTCGCTGTTGTCACTGTTGTCGCTGTCTTCCCTTTTGTTGCTGTTGTCGCTATTGTGTTTGTTGTCTCCATTGTCCCTGTTTTCGCTGTTGCCCCTGTTGTCAGTGTTGTCGCTGTTGTCAGTGTTGTCACTTTTCACACTGTTGTCGCTGTTTTCACTGTTGTCGCTATTGTCACTGTTGTCGAGTGTATGAACGTATTCACCGTTTCAGTTATAAATGAGGAAGAAAACGGGAATGGAATTTTACAGGCCAGGTCTGAAAACGAATGTTAAAAGTGACATTTATTGATCTGAAATAGGGTCAGGATGGATTTGGAGAACTGGGTGGCACACCCCCACCGTTTGGGATTTAATTCTTATTTTAATTTTTCTGTGCTCCCCAACCCCGTAAGTGAAGACCTTTGACAGCAATATGACTAGGCTAACAGCAACCTCTTCGATTAAGAATCGAGAATGCAAAACGCACCTTAAGTCATTGTGGATTGCTTTCAAAATGAAAAAATTCTAGTTTTCAAAGTAGAAGTTATCCGATTGAAGGTTTTGGGGAGCAGTGCGCGTCAAGGCGGCGAGGGGGGAGAGAGGGTACTGGATCCAACTTTGCTAAAGGGGTTGGTCGCCTTCGCCCTGTCGGAAACGTAAATACAACCTCTCTGCGAGAACACTGGTTAAAACAGAGAACAAGATGCACAGTCGCTACTGTTTCTTTAGTAAACGTTGGACCCCGTTAATTGAACGGGACAAGCTGGTATACAACTGTAACCCTTTTTAAGGTAAGCGCAGTGAAAGTCAAACAAGGGTGATAAAAACTGCAACCATTTATTACATCAGTGTAAAAACTTAACAGGAATCAAGTTATTGAAAAAAAAGTGGCAACCTGTCTTTCTGAAAATCAGAGTCTCGCAGAAATTTAGTCTAATTTTGTACGGCCCAGGTTAAGGCCCAGACGTCATCGCTTCCGCCGTTTACGAGTTGTTGTGCGTCCTAAAGATCTTCTCCTTCCAAGAGAACCGGAGAGTGATCCAGCGCTCAAATGATGTCCAAAGGCACCATGTGGAGTAGGTGCTACCCCAGTGAGGTCATCAGGGTCCATCCAAATAAGGTTACATTTGTTTTGCTCCACAAAGAGGTCCAGGAGGCTCCCTATCCACGTGTCTGCTTGGTGGCGAGCGTTCACTACAATACATTCGACATTTTCTGATAGGCTCACGGGTCCATGGATCTGAACCTGAGGTCAAGTTACATAATTTTTAATGTTACTATATATATATCCAAACGCATTTGGTACTTGGCCCGGCCTGTCCGTTGTCGAGAACGAAAATTGAATGCGGGAATAGAGTATTTCGGGAGACTGTGGAGAACCAAATAAGGGCGATTTTGTTGATAAGCTCGTCACTGTTTATCATCTCGCTTCCTGATGCCATTGCCTTTTAGAAAACTATATAGATCTCAGTACTACGAATCTGGGATGCGTCTCTGATTAGCAATAACCCAAAGAATCTGGTCGGGGGAGCGGGGTGGGGTGGAGTTCGACGCAAGTTTACTTCCTTAATGTATTACCTCTTTGTAATGCGAGATGCAATCTGATCGATGAAAAGGAACCTTTCCCGTGGCAACATCAATGATCTAAAAAAGTAGAAAGAGAGAGGCTTGATTTAGAAATAAAGAATGACACTCAAAACGGATGAAAACAAACACTGGTCAAGAGCCTCTATAAGGAATACTTTTGCATCGTGAGGTTAATGGGATAAACAACACAGGACCCATGTAGTCAGAAAGACCACACTGAAATTAGCAACATTCTCAAGTTTGGTGTTTATCGGGCCAATATTGAACGAGATACAGCCATTCAAAACCTCCAAAATTTACTACATGTAACAAATGTGTAGACGTCCGGAAGGTGCATGTGTCCGGCAATCCATGGCCTACGTATAGCCGCAACCTGCTCTCGAACCCTCGACAAACGAAAACCTGGGAAAAGCAGCTCCGTTTTTTTGGTCGGCGGGCAGGGGGGAGGGTGCGTGTACACATAGTCTAGCAATCCATACATTTCTCATAAATTTTCAAGTTTTTAAATACTTGTATCTTGTTCAATATTGGCCCGATCGACACCAAACTTGAGATTTTTCCTAACCTCCATGCACTCTTTCTGCATATGTGACTCTCGTGTTGTTTATCCCATAATAAACTGACTCTTCAATCCCATTATCACCATCGTCACACCTCCAAAATTGTGCCATTGTTATTATAAATGTTATTATTTTTTGTACCGCGGTAATCTCGGGGTCGCTGTACGCGTACATGATATTTTCATAATGTTCACAGCACGATAACTTTACTCCACTTCCTGAAGTATCCATTGAGGCGAACGTTGTACGAAGACGAACTTTCTTTAGCTGAAAATAAGGGAAAAAGTAGTAGCTAAGAAAGATTGACAGTTCGATTTGACTCACGATCAGTCAAACTTGGTAGAATAAAACATATCCGCGGCGTAAATTAAACTATGAAAGGTGAAATTGAAAATTCGACTTACCTGAAGAAAGGAATCGCCGTAATTGATACAGCTTCGTACACCAAGGGGATCACCAACTAGAAAAAAAAAACAAGATAGTAAAGACGCAAGTTCAGTAAAAATATAGCAGTATGTAAACTGTGAGGAATGATCATGACGGCTCAGTCTATTCAACGTCTAATTACCTCCCTCGGGTGCTGTACGTGTTACAGTAAAGTCAAAGCTACATCGATGCGACTAGACAGTTAAACTTTCATGAGTAACAAAGAAGAGTTTTAACAGAACAATTTTTGAAAATAAGGCTATTCCTTTCCTTTAGGCCTGGAACGACAAGGCGAGTAAACCAGTTGCAAACTGAACATAAACAACGAAAAACTGAAAGTCAATGAAAAAAAAGCAAGACGGCGCAAAATAAGAGGTATCCTCCTTGGAAATTTATTGCTGCTGTCAATCGTTTTAACGTGTGTGATAGAAGGGGAAAAGAAAAGGGTGTAAGAAGAAAAATGAGAACTGACATATTAAAATAACACTAGCATGGATTTCCGTCAGTGAGTTAAAAGGAGCACGCACGTTGGTACCTATGTTTAGCACGCCATATTTGACACGTTCCAAGGGGCTGCTACGCTTGTAATGATTGTTAAATATTCGATCCTAAGGAGAAATGGAGAGGTTAAGATAATCAGTGAAAAATAATAAGATATAATAAATAAAAAAAATACTTTTATGACCATAATCATACAATAGTAACAGGGCAGGGTAACCGCAACCGTGTGACGCCAATTACTGCGGGCGCGTTACCGCCCCTCCCCTTCCCCCTACAAGAGAAAACCCTCGGGGTTTGCGTCCCCTACTCTTTTCGTACAGCAGTACGAGACTTTTTGTGTCCCCTTCTAATTGATTTGGAAGGATCACAGCCTCATGACCCGATCATCAGAACTTGGAAACAAAAATCTTAGATTATAACCAGCATGATCTTGCTAACTTTTTTCAACCCGCAACCTCCCTCTTGACAGACCGACGCTCACAAAATGGGCTAAAACCGGGCCGCGTTTATGACCCGGTTATTCACGTTGCTTACTTATGTTTTGTCCTTTTCTTCGTTGCATGTTTATCAAAAAGCTCCGCGCACGTCACGTGCTGCAGCGATTGCCATTAGGATAAAGGACAGCAAAAGTTTCGTTCGCGTTACGTTCCCAAAAAGCTGTTGCGAGGACGGAATATGGTTGCAGCCACGAATCACAAACTTATGGTCTGATTTTGTATGATCGGTCGAGGAAAAGAGATGGTCGATATTTCAGCTGTAACAGCACCGAGTTTTTCCCAATTCTAAGTAGCGCGCGCGCAAACCAACGTCACTTTGGCGGGAAAATTTGGTAGCGGTCGTCAGTCTACTACGAGTTTTAGCGAGAAAGTCGTAGTGGCAAAAACAAGTTATCAAATGTTAGAAATATTATCATTTAGCTGTCGGGAGAGGGTTTTGCCTCTTTCAATGGAAATAAGCGTGCCAACTTTTATGGTGAAAAAAAGTACAATGAAGCTTTGCGGGCTGTCTATTTTTAGAAAAAATAGGCAAGAAAACTTAGCATTAAATGTCGTCCTCGCCCTCGAATCTAAAGCTCTCTAATGTATGACCTAACGACTTTTTCAGCAACAGGCCGCCTATTGTATGCATAGTTTTACGTTTTTCATGGTTTCAGTTCTCACCTCCCAAGATTTTCTAGCTTTAAGATCAGTGGAACCACCGCTTGTTCCAGTCTCAAACTGGTTGCGATAATGCGTGTCTTTAACTAGAAAATGCAAAACTTTGTCAAGGTTGATGTGGATGATGATAGGAGCGGCACTGCGCACCCATTGTAAGGTCCTGAGTAAAAGACAATAAACAATAAACAAAAATTTAGTGCAAGAGCCCATGTCCGTTGTTAACGTTCTTCGGCAACCATGTCCAGATTCTCCTTAATCTCGTACCCAGATCTCACTCCGCGGGAGATCTGGGTACGAGATTACATTCTCCCACTTAACATGAATAAAGAAAAATTATCATGAAATAAGACTCCAGCCTTTCTAAGCCCCAAATCCAAAAGGGATGAAAAGACTTTCTCCAAGCGTGTTAATTAGGAGGAAAACGGTAATAAAGGCAAACAAAGGGACAATCGAGACGATTTACGTCTCACGAACAACATCTCAGTAAAAGCATCAGTTAATCAAGGGCAACGTTATCACTATTTGCTTTCCTTGATGAGAGAACCTGGCTGGTCTACCTCCTGATAAACTGAGATAAACTGGCTGTCCTAGCCTAAACATAACATTATCAAGTACAGAGATATTGGACTTGATCCACTGGAGAATATTACTTCCAATTCCACAACTTCTATTGGCTATCCTGATTTATTGGAGAAAACCGGAATAACCTCGAGGCAAACCAAACTTTTAAAAACTTTCTTTCCACAACTGTCCGTACGATTGAATGGTTTGGTTGTTTAGAATTGAAGGGTGTTCAGGTATTTTAAAACTTTTCCCAGAGTATTTCATTACCATTTGCTCTTTTTTCGAAATTCTTACTGAGACATTTCATTTGGTCCCTAATGGACAACGACCTTCTTTAATTTTTAATTTCAGACTTGGAAAACACTTATACATTTAGCTGTACACAAACCTTTTTAAGTCGTTCTCACTGTAACCCAGGCGTTGAACACGTGCAAGTAAACCAGAGGAAACTTTCTTGGATTCTTTAGCTGAGCGGGTGATGACGTACTGTAAAGCGGCTCTTTGAGTGTCATTTAATATGGCGACTGATGAAATAGCACTCAACTGAAAACAATATCAATGGTCATTTATAAACCCCATAAAGAACAAAACTAAACAAGAAAAACTAGGTAAAGACTGCTTAGATTAAGATAGGAAAGAAAAGAATTTACTTTATTTCAATTCTCCAATGCGGGAACCGGGTTAAGCAAAAATTTAGATGAATTGACTGGATATCACTACTTTTCCCTTATAAGGGATTAGAGTCCACCCCGAGGAGAGTTTGTTTTTACTCAGTGAAGTGAATGAATAGAGGCAAAACAATACGTGATTAAAGATCTTTGGTATTTTCCAAATAATAACATGACCAGTCTACCTATTCGTAAACTCGACCCCAGGTCTCAACGTTTTCCAATATGGCGTTTCTCCTCTTCAGCCGCCATATTGTAAAGGGAGAAGACTCTATAGTTCACACAAACAATAAGTTTAAGAAAGGCCAGGTCAATCAGTGTTATGGGATTTGCATTGATACCGATTGGATTTCCAAGAAGCAATGAATCTCGCCAACACCTCCCCTTAATGTACAGTGACAAAAATTGATATCACTCCATGTAAGGAAAACTGAGACAGTCTTGGATTCTGGATTCCACTCTTTGGATTCAGGATTCTTTGCCAGTGGAACCTGGATTCCGGATTGCAATCGTTTGTGGGATTCTGGATTCCTTTAGCTGAATTCCGCATTCCAAAGCGAAGAATTCCGGATTACTTTACAAAGCGATTGATACCTTGCGCAAATTATAAACACATCTATTTTATTGACTCTTCACTTACATCATGGATAGAGGGCAAGAAACCATGAAACCTCTCTCTAGGTCCTGACATGTCACCATCGCATTTCTGTGCGTGGCGGATCAGCTTGCTGACTGGAAAGTCTTTGAAACAATACATACATCTCTCAAGTAATTCTGTGCTTGATGACTGGCTGCCAGATGAGACTCCATCTCGTGAATCCTCCTGTAAGAGACAGTATGGCATTGAAATTCAATGGGAGCCCATAACTCGGGGTGAGTAGCTTCCATACTGTACCCGTGTCACAGCGTCTTCACTGACCAGTTTATTTTTAGAACTATTTTGGCGCGAATTTACAATATCTGTTAAGCCCAACAAATCAGTCACCAAAAACTACAGTCCTCGAAATGGTATTTATGACTTTTGAATGACGTTTAGTTTTCTTTTTTGATATCTCATACTTTGAATGCGCTCATGGACTCAGGAAAAAGCGCTCTAAAATGTATCTAAAAATAGACCAGTCCGTGAAAACGTCGTGACATAGGCCTAGTTGGGAGGTGCTTGCTCTGGGTAAATGCTCTTTACTAACTACTGAGTATCACTTTATATTAAGTATATCTGATATTTCTGCTGCACATTTGTGCATTCTTTTTTGATAAACGAAAGTTAAAAATCAAAACAAATCACTTTCAAATAATAAAATCTAACAATAAAACACTGCATCAAACCTGGCTGCCAGTGATTGCTTTTTGATCACAGTTCTGTGCATGGTTGATAAGCTCGCTTAACGGAAATGTCTGTAGACAATAACAACACTGCTCCAGTTCCTCTGCGGATGAATCCTGCGAAATTGTATTAAAGAAAAAGCTGATTCGTATAAACCCAATTTTTTTCTCACCATGTATGTTCTTTAATTTATTCGGAATATAGTATATAGAAAAGAAAATATGATAATGGTATTTTTTTCGCGACTCGGTCCGTTCATTTGGCGGAGAATCACGGCGTTTTAACCTTTTGCTGATGGAAGTAAGCCAATAGCCAACTTCGGTATGCCTATTTTTAACATAAGGTACAAAGGTAAAGATTTATTTATAGCGAAAGCGCACTTAGCATCAAAGGTAACTTAAAGACACCCTTCTCAAATAATTATAAACAAATAATCCAAATCGAACATAAACGGATGAAAATTCCCAACTGGCAGGAGGCAAAAAGTTGGCTATTTACAAGCGTGGTCGAATATTTGAATTCGGGGGACAGAACTCGAACACGATACAGACGGATTGGGAGTCCGATGCGCCGACTACTAGGCCACGCTGTCTCTCAAAACATGTCGGTAAAAATTATGCTGCTAAATCCAGGGCAACGCCTGAAGGTTAACAGCTACACCTACAAGAGGAGGCACACCGATAGGCTATTTACACAAATGGCGAAGACGCTGAACTTGCAATAACAACTGCCAAGAAAGACCTCCACCCAGAGATCTCGCGGTCAGCGATACGTACTACTTGGACCTCCGAATTACAAGTCTGATACTCTAATGGCCACAACAAGCACTATCCACTGGCATGTTTTAAATATTAACTAAAAGTTATTTCAGGAAAATAAAAACATCTTACCTTATTGAGCGTTGCACAGGCTTCGACATGTTCTACAAGAACGTTCACAGCAAACATTTTAAAGCAGTAGATGCACTGTTCTTCGCAGTTGTGATATGAATCCAGCGAGGAAAATGTTCTTTTTAAGCTAATTCCTTCTAATTTACCTGCCTCTCTCTCGCTACTACCAGTAGAGCTAATCACTTTAGTCACAAATGATGATGGCCACTCTCCGGATTTACATCCTGGGTGTGCCTCATCCTTTTCATCCTCGACCGTTACTCTGCTGCTTAGATTGTCTATGCGGACACCAGTCTGCCCCGTAAAATCTGCAGGGTCACTTTCAGAAGACTGGCTGGAGCATTCACTTCCCTTATTTGAAGCACGCCGCTTCTTACACCTGGGATAATGAATACCCATCATGTGTACGGGCAACCGTACTCCACAGACGCTGCAGTCACTGAAAACAATGGGAGCTGCTGTAGAGGACTCAGATGGGGTGGTTGAGTTAGAAAATTCTGTCTTTGTTTCCCCGGTTGTTTGCACGTCTAGTGAAACTACGCTACATTTAGCTGCATGTTCGACCAACAAAGACAGATGAAATAGCTTACGACACTTCGGGCAGATTTCAAATTGATCAAGATCAGCGTCATCTTCGCTGGTTTCCATTGCAAGGAGATGTTCACCATCACCCGAAGGATCCTCAGAGGAAACAAATTCGTCGTCTATGTAGGCACTGCTTTCGTCGTCACCGAGACGGACGTCATGGTGACCGCGAGCGAAGTCATCAGTATCATCTCCATCTCCAGTATTATCCTTACCATCTCTGCCGGTGTTGTTTTCGTCATCGATATGAACACCGACATCATCACCATGTGTGATGTCATCATCCTCTTTTACGAGTCTAACTTCATAACTATAAGCTCTATCTTCATCATCTCCCCCTCTACTAACCTTGGAACCGTCTTCATCGATATATTCATTATCTGGTCTGGTGATTACAAACCTTTCGCTGTTTTTCTTATCACATTCTTCTTCAATCGACCTATGGTTTTCAAGACTTTTGCCCTCACGATACGGACAATCTTTCTCGACACCTTTCTCACTTTCTCTTTTACGATCAAGAACATCGTCACTATTAATATGTTCCCGAATATCTGTTCGCAGAGATTCTGAGCCAGAACCAGATTTGCGCACTTCCCCTAGACATTTATCAGCATGGCTTAATAGTTCTAACAAGCAAAACTCTCCCTGGCATTTTGGACAGAGCTCTTTATCTTCCATCGGAGAATCGTCCTCGCTTCTGGACGAACAATCAGAGCCCGGGTCAGAGAGAGAAGATTGGGAGCAATCTTCCCGCGATATTTCAACAGCCTTTATCATTGACAGGTTCTTACATTGGTCAACATGTTCTACAAGAGCTAAAACATCAAGGTAATTTGCACAATAAGGACAGGCTTCTTTCACACTGTCTGGGTCCTCTGAATCGGTACTTGCCATGCCGCTAGTCTTAGAGCAAGTTGAAACGTGGATAACGAGTTCCGGTACAGGAAATAAACCTGAGCAGAACGTGCATCTTTCTTTGGATTCTTCTTTCTCAAGTGTGGGTTGACTTCGATCAAGTGAAACTAATACAGGGCTGCTTTCAAGGGACCTGTTTTGCTCATTCTGCTCTGTTGAGCCTGAAAATGTTTCTTCGATATTTCCTTCGATGTTTCCGGATGTGCAGCTTGTATCAGCGCGTTTGTCGTTGATCTTAGACCAAACACAATTACCTAAATCCTCTTTAGACTCACATGTACGTGGGAAAGATCTATAAGTTTCACTACCGCTCTTCTCGCTTACTTCACTCACTTTTTCGTCAGGATTATCACTTTTGTTATCTGTTTGCCCATTTGTCTCATTCAGCTGCTCGTTTTCCTCAATGCATTCAATGTCGTCTTGAACACCACTGTCTTCCTTTCTCTCAGCGTTTCCAGCATCGCAAATCCTCACATGATCTCCAGGCAAACAACTTTCAAGTTGAAGCGATGATAATGACACATGATCTTGACTTTTAGCCTCCTGACTGAGGCCTTCACAAACTGTTTCATGCAAGGAAATGGTAACTTGTGGTATCCGCTTACCACACTGAACGCAATTACCATATAGAATGTCATCAACCTCGTTCCCAGGGGGCTGAGTGGGAGAGGACGCTGGCAACAAGATGGAAATGCCATCTGCAAACGGAGACTGGTGTTTCTCTTTTCCTGACTCTGATGGGCTTTCAGAAGGTAACTGGTCACACTGGCTTGTCGCTTTCATTGCCAATGAAGTGGTGGCACAGGGTTTGACTTCATCTTTAGCACATATTTTCTGTATTCCGTTATCACTGGTATAAGAGTTTTGTTGAGAGGATGTCAGCGGAGTGGTACTCCCTTTGCCAATAATATCGAAGCCAATATAACTATCTCTATGGCCAGTAATTATGTCTTCCACATGGTTTTCAAGGTTTTCCATGCAATTGTCTCCACTTTTAATGTCATCTGCTAATCCTTCGGAACCACTTGCACTGCTACGATGTTCAACATTCATACACGAAGAATCATGTTTCTCTGTAACTTCCATAAATTTTGACAACTCTGACGGGCTCTCGTAAGACGACGGATTACAGGGGCTTAATGGTTTCTTTGCCACTGAATAGTTAGTACAGGGTTTGACTTCACCTTTACCACGATTTTTTTGTATTATATTATCATGGGTAGAAGTACATGTAGTGTTCGTAAATGGAGAAGAACTCCTTTTGCCAATTCCATCGGAGCAAGTATAATATTTACTAGATTTGAACTCTGCTTGGATATTAAAGTTTTCAATGCACTTTTCTCCATTTTTAAAAGGGCTACCAATGTAAGATTCTGGTTGCTCAAAATGCTCTTCCATTTGCTCCTTAAACCTCACCTTCCTCGTCAAAACAAAGTCATCACCAGATTCGCTTTTCCTTTTTAAATTGGGAGACTTTTTGTCGTCTTGTTTTAGACTTGAAACATTTTGATCTAAATGGGCTGGTTTATAAGTAGTAGTTGTGTTGCCTACATTTCCATTATTGTTTAAACCTCCAAAGTTCTGTGTATGAATCTCGATGCCTTTGCCTGTATCTGTGAGATCGACAGATTCAATACACTTATTGGTCAAGGGTTTATCGTTATGAAAACACGCTACAGTCTTGTTTAAAACCACAGCTTCTGACTCACTATCCTTTACACTTGGAATAGGTTTTTCTGTTTCCTCACAGATTACAACGTCTATTTTCTTACTTTGGTGCAAATCCTCAGTTCCTTGAATTAAGTATTCTGCTGGTCTGTAAATGCTTTTCATAACTCGCGGGAATGGAGACTGAAGATACTTATAGGCAATGACATCATGGTTTGTATCAGTGGAACGAGTCAGCAAAATAAGGTCTCCTTCGTTCAGTTGAGTGGGCATTTCCTTCTGTAGTCTTGTTTTTTCATTGCTAGCTTCAGAGACAATCCACGTCCCATTTGAGCTGTGGTCTGTAATAAGGACTTTCACTTTTGGACAAACACTGCCAAAAAAATAAAACTATTCACATATTAATAAAAATTAGAAAGAGCATGAGGTTTGAAGTGGAACTGGAACCTTCCTAAAGTCTCAAGTAAATTATACTGACAGTCAGCTTTATTTAATGACTTTGTCAATAATCTTCCCAGAAAACCACATGTTCTTCCCACCAACTTAGTCTGACAACCAGCCAGTGTCATTTCATCAAAGGGTAATTAGTTTAAACTGGCTATGATTAAGGCCTAGCCTCAGTTCAGATGATTATTGGGCAATAAGATGACACTACAGAGATCTGATAGCACCACCTGAGGTACCCTCTTTGTTGAAAAGTAAAGTAGGCTTCACCTATTCATCACTAGGAGTAATATTGCAACACAAAAATGTGATAGGTTGCAGCAGCAGAATGATTACAATATATTCTTCCATTATTTTTTAACTCTTCTCAGGGACCAGTTAGCTAATATTAGAAAGATTAAGATGCACATTTACGGCAAACGGCAAACATGAATTTCTACTACATGACCAAGTTTTTCCCTTATTTTAGTTCACTGTTTATTGCGTCTACACAAAAATAAGTAGTTTTATGCCAGTTTTATCGATAAGAATCATTCTGGACTGTTGTTATCTGCTTAATTTCTGTTCTGAAAAATTCTCAACTTGAATCTAACGTTTGCTGTTTGCCGTAAACACAAATCTTAATCTCTCTAAATATACATAGATCAACACTGTGAAATAAGCACCTTGAAAAACTAATGACCCTCAAAATTTGAAAGTGTTTCAGCTCTGCAAAGTCACAAATATTTACAGATGCTTTTCAAACGTTTGTATGCTGGAACTCTCCTTAGCCCACCAAACAGAACATCTGTAAAATTATGCAGATTTTAAAAACACAAATTCAAATTAGAGCTATCTTGAATTAACGTGAGAAAACAGGTGACATGTCATAATGCCAACACTGGTTTCTCAGCACAAATGACGTCTGAGGAATGAGCACGGAGATTCCATACTGATGACCCATCTCTTCCCTGATCTGCGTAGTGCTCCTCATTGGATGAAGCAAATCTTAGCCAATGAAAAGCACTGGGAAGTGACACATCTGTAGTATGGAATTTCTGCATTTTTGTGGTGGCCTTGTGAAACGTCAGCTGTTTTCCCATGCTTATCTTGAATTTGTTTTACGAGACAAAAAAAGGCCGATAAAATAAAATCCTTTTTTACTTTACATAAACAAAAAAAACCAAAACACCATTCCAGCACACACATACATACACACACACAGAACTTTACCTCAAATCAAGCTCAGTCTGGTTGCAGACTTTCAAACTACAGTGAACTTTGCTAACATGACTGTCGCTTACTGTTAAGTTACAAAGCGGAGATCGACCGATCTTGAATGCTCCAGTTACTCGCAGATCATATTCTTTATCTAGTTCAGAAAGATTTTGGTTTGGCATCACAGAAAAAGAGAAAAACAGCCAGACAAGTAACTATTAAGAGAAAATCAATTGAATGAAACAGAGTTTTACTTGTCAGCGGATTCACACAAAATCATATTTTTCGTTATGTAAACTGCATAAGTTACGGCGTTGACAAATGTTGTCATAGAAACCAAACGAAAGTGGCCATTTTGAATATGGCTTTTGTGACTTTCTTATCGAGTTCATCTGTGACTTTATTATCAATCGAATTATATGGATTATTATTGGTGCTGTGAAAAAGTGATGTGGAATATCAGATAAGGTGAAATCGGTACAAGATTGGAATGGCTAAATTTTTAATATCGTGGTAATTTTGCTCGTCGTGGGCGGGAAATCTCATCTCGCAGACGACAACGGAATCTGTAACTCAAAAGCACTTTTTAATATGGCTAGCAAACTTATGCAACTCATCGAAACACGGACGAAACGACCCGTGCTTGACGAATCAGACTTAAAAGTTAGCTCGCATTGGAAACTAATCAAATCCGCGATAAAACAAGAACACGGCGATGACCCGAAGAAACTCGATGAGAAACAGGCTTTGAATGTGGGACATGGTGTTCATCCGGTGCAATCTTTGGTTTCTGAAGAAGAAATCGCCTTTGTGGCTTTCAATTCTCTTAATAATAACTTTGTTGGAATTGACAGAGAGGGAAACGCTTCGGTATATTTGGCAACTGGTTATACGGAACCCGTCGACTCCAACATCCTCAAAGGTCCCATTTGCGGAATAGTGTATGCTAAGAAAACTAGATTCTATGCTGCCTGGGGACTTGATGAAAACATCAGAGTAAGTTATTTAATGCTTTACCAGGGGGTCTTTAATTGCACATTATTCAAAAGATGTACAATGGAGCCAAGCCTTACGGCACCTGTTCATATGACCATCTTGTAACTAATGACCACATTCGTTCAGCCAAACATCAGAACCATCCAGTCGTCTCGATCCTTATCTCGAAGGCTAATTTCAATACAACCACCTCATTACTACAGTTTTCGTGGTCCTAGAGTGGTTGCAATAACTCGAGGCCACTCTGTTGACTGTATTGTCTCCTCTGATAGGGGCTGCGCACTGCATGACCACGTCTATCAGATGGTAACCCACTTTAGCAATGCCATCGCTCAGGGTCATTGTGCAGTCTGAGAGATGGCTGCATTTTAGCCCAAAAATTCCATACTGATGACATAACTCTGCCCAGAATCTGGTCAGAAGCTCTGATTAGTTGGCAAAGTTACAGTCAAATCCCACTTTACAGACACCCGGTTAATACTGACATCTCATTATTATGGACAGTTTGCTTTGTTCCTTGCAAGGGAAAGCCCTCTAATTTTCTCTAAATTCAACCCTCTTAATACAACACTCCATAAATACAGACGGACACATTCTATGGCCCCCTCAGTGTCTGTATTAACAGGGCATGATTGCGTAATCTTTCTCCTATTGTTTCCTTTTGACAGACTGAAGATGAAAGGTTGTGAAGATCAATATTTTGCAAGGCACTGAATTTATTAAGAAGCACTCATTTCCTAGGAATATAATAGTTGCTTTGAAGAAGTAATTCAGTTTTGCTGTCGTTAAATTTGCAGCAGAACAAGGAAAAATAGAAACTTGAAAAAATCTGCATCTGCATGGAACCGCACAAACAGACGATTAGTTACGTTATTGCTTTATACCCATCAGTATGGAATTTTTGGGTAAAAATGAAGACATACCTCTCATGAAATGTCCCCAGTGACAAGGAGCAGTGAGAGGTTGTGGTATTTGCAGGGTAATCAGTGGGTAACAGAAGTCATTATGAACAAGGTGCATTGCATGCTAGTTTCGAAGCATGAAGGGCTTCAAAGAGAAGCAACTGTCTCATTTCGAACTTGCATAGACTGCATCTTTTAACATCTCTATCTTAGTTTGTGCATTCTTTGAATGGTGGGTCATTGTTAATATTTTTTCTATAATTTGCAGTTACTGTCAGATGGCTTTAAACTTGTCAGCATGGCAACCTCTCTTAGTAGAATATTCAGGTAGGTCCATGCACTATAATATTATTTTATTATTATTATTTTTTTTTTTCAAGAAAAAAAATAGATGATCAGTTAAAGTTTTCAATATTTTTTATCTAGTTTAATTAGCACAAGGTGCAAATAATTTAGCGGTTCTAGAAACTGCTAATGGCTGGTTAAGAGGTATATTTGAATAATTGCATAATTGAGTAATGTGTTAATTTAGAGTTTGATGTAAATGAAAGCTGAAATGCATGTCTAAACAACTGAGTATGACAATTTTTACTGTATCTTTCATCAGTGGTGTGTATAATGAGACAACAAATGAGATCATAACTGGAGGAGTTGGAAACATCACCGTAAGTCCCTTTTTAAAATTTTTGCTGTTTCTTGTTGGAGCATTTGTTGGCTTAATGTACCTGCATGATGTTAATTTATTTATCAGAATGCCAGACAACTAACTCATCAGTCTTACCTAATCCTGTTTTTTTTTTTCTTATTTGATACTTTTTTATTTATTTATTTATTTCAGTGCTGGAGCTTTAGATATGGGGCAAAGTTTCTACTTCAGCGGAAAGTTTTGTCAGTGAGTGTTTTGATTAATTGTAACGTGTCTACCAATCTTATACCTTTTGACTTCCTCTTCCCTAAGAAATTTATTCATGAGCTAATTTATCAAACCTTAGATAATAAAAATAAGCTAACAAATATATTACTAGAAAATAGTTAGGCTAAGAAAAATACAACTCATTCAAAGTGCCTTTTTCTAACTATATTATAATCCTCATAATACAATCATGTGAACTTGTTTACATTCCCTGCCTACAACATTAAGTGTTTTCAGTTAGATCATATTCCAAAATCCCTTCTTTGGAGGCTCAGATACCAGCTGCTGTCTTAATTAGGAAAATGAACCCACTTTCCAGCCCAAGAAAAGAACAAGTGAGACCGAACCCGATGAAATCTAGCCTGCCATGTATTTAGAGTTACAGTTATTAAAGTGCAGTATTGGTCCTGAACCTTGTTACTGACATTAAGTTAACAAGAAAATATTCTAATTCTTTTTCTTTTGCTTATAATTTTCCAAGGAATGTTTGCCAGCAACCAGCATTATTTCAATCCTGTGTTTAGAAGACACACCCAGCAGATCTCAAAGATGTTTTGCAGTTTATCACAATAATGTGATCATTTACAACCTGCTGAATGGCTCCTGTGAGGGTCACCTTAAGGAGCTGCATCCCCGAGAAATAACCACTGCCCTGTTCTTCAATCCACTGAAGGTGATGTATTGCTTGTCATTTGCTTGCTAATGTATACCAGTAAGGCGCTATAAGAATACTTCAAAATTTATTTGAAAAAGTGCAAAAAGTGCCATTGGTAGTCTGGAATGCCATCCGTCTCCACCCCCTAACCCATTGGGGCGTGTCCCGCATCGCCCAGAGGCTAGGGAGTGTAGATGGATGACATTTCAGACTTAGCCCAGGTGCTAATTCCAGCATTTGCTAAACCCAAGAGTTTGTAAGTCAGCAATTATTATTTCACTAGTGCGGGTTGGATATGAGTTGGCTATAATCATCTCATATGAATCCAACAAGCGCGAGTAAAATAATTGTTTTATTAAAAATGCCCACAAAATATCAAGAATTCTTCCTGACTTTATATGTAAAAATAACCGATTTTCAGCTTGTTTTTAATTTTGAGCAGATGCATACAGTTACCGTTTTTGGAGAGCATAGTATAATGGCTCAAAAACTATGATGGCTAAGCCAGTTAGAGATCCAGAAGTGCATTATCCAATGATTCAGTGTTTGACAATCACGCTTATTTACCTTCTCTTTTAGTACCTTGTAACCGGGGCAAAGGATGGGTCGATAAAAGTCTGGGATGACAAAGGGAACATCAAAATCATCTTTGTCGGACATTTAAAATCAGTTAACACTCTAGCAGTTTATCCGTTTGGTACGTACATCATGTCAGGATCAAGCGACTGTACCATCAGAGTCTGGAGTTTGGATACTGCTGATGAAGTGGATCGCATAAGCACCAAGGAACCCGTCTTTGGATTGGGAACAATTGTAGGAAAAAATGACTTGTATTCGTTTGGAAGTAAATCGATTGAGTTGTGGAGAATTGAACATATTCATAGCGTCTTTGCTGCCATTGGGTAAGTAGGTGACGGTCATTTTTTGTAGGAAGCAGGTATAAATAACACGACAATACAAATAGTAAAGGAGTGTTTTTTGTTTTTCATTTTTGTACTTGAACATGAATTTTTTACAGTATCAGGCCTAATAATAATGATGCAAATGCCACTGTCTTATGACTAACTTCCATTTCCTCTGTAGGAGTAAAGTAAAATCCATCAAAACTACAACACATCCAAGAGTAAGTACATGAATAAAAGTGTTTCTTCATCAAAAAACCTTTACTCCAATTCTCTGCCCCTCTCCCATCCCTGACAATTAATGGGCTTTCTCACTAGCTTCGCAAGGGTCTGCGATACACGTATTTTTAGTAAAGGTTTTAATCAAGGAAAAACCAGTTCCACAGACTCTTAAACTAAGTTTGCGCGTTTGCTTAAACTAAGTCTCAAGCTCCAAATAGGAGCATACACTGTATATGTAGCACTGTGGATATGGAAACGTGGCATGGTCGCAATGGGAATGTGACACGGTAGTTAGGGGAACGTGGTACCCATAAGTTTTGAAACTCACTCTCACTCACTAACTTAACCTGTTCATCCCTGCTGGGCTGCAATCAAACAACGCCGCCACTCAACCCTATCCCGAGCTTTGGCTTGCACTTCGCCCCATGTTGTACCCAACGCTGGACTTTGTCAAAGCCCGTTTCCGGTTTCTGTTAGAGACATGTAGGGGGATCGCTCCCTTTCCCTCACCTCGCGAACGTCCTTCACTCCTTCGGCGCTGACGCAGTCAACTTGTGGCAACTCTAAACCCAACTCCTCCAGCTCTTTCATCACTATTCTCCACCAGGTGGTTTTTGGCTGACCTCTCCTCCTCTTCCCAGTCCATATCAAATGCAACTATGGGTATCCTGCCACCGGGTTTTTTGAAACAGTGTTGTTTTTCTTTTTCGGTTGAGTGAAAATCATTAAATAGAGGGGAGTAGCTGTTACGTCACGTTGCCATCGTAGAAGAACTTCTAGATCTCAACAAACCGTAGTCCTACAAACATGGTAGGAAGGGTTAGGGTTAAACGAAAAAACTGGCCTGTATGACTTTCCTGTGCATGACTGCGCTCAGGAACAAAACGGTAGCCCATACATCGTTGGACAAGGTAAATGGCCGTCTCTGTCAAGAAAGATTGTTGAGATCCAGAAATTTTGCTACCATGGTAACATGCAGGGCTGTCAAAACATTTTTTAATAGCAGGCTGATAATGAATAGTAGGCGGCTTTGGAACTCGCACCAAAGGCACAAGTTCTTGAGGGCCGAGGCATCTTGGGACATTTCGTTGCCGTCGAAATGTCCCAGGCGTTCCACGACATCGCACGGTTCGAACGTTTCACAGGTCTAAACCTGTTTAAAAACGCGTTAAATGTCATTCAAAACTGGGAAACGAATCCTTTACAATTTTATTCGACGGTGCTTAATTTTTGTTAGCAGTTAGAAAAGTGGTGGTAGAAGGAGATGAAAGGATGGCTAACTAGCCGGCGGTTTTGGTTGGCTACCGGCCCTTACTGACAACTGTGAACATGACGTCACACTTCTCCTCTCTATTGAATACAACAGTAGCAGTAATTTGTGTTAACAATGTTATATGTTTGTTACTATTGTTAGATGCCTTTGAGACTGGTGTGCACTTGCAGTGACGCAACAGTTCGCCTATTGTCCCCAGGCTCCGGGGAGTGCATCACGACCATGCTGTTACCCAGTATGAGTATAATTGCTGACGTGGCTTATGCTGCAGCTGAAAGTATGTTCCCAGTTATTCTTTTTCAAAGGCACGATTATAACAAGATTGTTATTTTAAACTCCTCTTTTGAAATAGGGCGAGTTTTCCCGCATGCACTCTCAAATGCTTGCGAACAAGAAATGATTGGTTTTCGCTGCACTTCCTCGTTGTTATAGAGTGATGCGACTTACTGTGTAATACTGTATAAAACCAAAGTTACTACTTTTGTGATAGAAACTACTGATCTATTATTTAAGTTGAAAGTCGTTTTGTACATCTCTTTCATGATCAATTCCTTTTAAGTGTTATCTTATGCGAGTGTAAAAAGGACATGCACTGTTGCCCTTTTATCCGCGACATTACATTACATTACGTTACGTCACGTTACATTACTTTACGTTACGTTCCATCACATATCACTGGGAACATCATTTTAAGTTTTTGGTTCCATAATTGGCATAATGCAGAACTTTTTCTTACTGTGCCTTCTTAATTTTGTTTGTAGATTTGCTGTTTACTTTGCTCTCAGATGGTAGGATCTTGAAGGCCTCAACGCTAACAAATCCATGTAAACTACTCCAGGAATGGGACATGAAAACCAACCCAGATGGTAAGAGTCGTTTATCTTTTACTAAAAGTCCAAGGTTTCTTTCTCTAACAGAACCATTTGTAAGAGTTAGCTATGTTTTTAGGAGAGTCAAACTTTTTATCTTGCGGTCGCGTCTTGTAGTACACCTCACAAGCACAGGCTAGAGAGGCTCTCTCATGATCAACTTGTTAGTCCTTCTTTGGTCGAAAGAGGTTTTCATTCTTGTTGGAACATACCTTATCTATACTCAGTTTTCGACCCATTAGACTAAACGCGCGAAAATATTCGAGACGGAAGAAAAAAAGAGACTGTCGTAGTCCTAACCGTTTATGCTCCGCATTTTGTTCTTGATGTATTTTTTGGTTGTCGTTGGTCAAATTTACGTTGCTATAGACTTAAGCCTTGTTTACGCCTTTCCTAATGACAACGCCCAAGCTCAGGTAATACAAGCGGAAAATGTCGCAGTAGCCTGCTAAACATTAATTTTTTTCCCTGTTGAAGCAAAATGCGAATGTTGCTTAAATGAACTAAATAATTAGCACTATATACCCGCAATCAACTAGGAAAAAACGCCAATCTTTTGTGGAAAGAAAACTAAGCATGTTTCTATTTCATGTTACAGTTCCAAGTCCGTGCAGCTGTCTTTGCCTTTATGAATATGTGGTTGAGGTAAGAAACTTAACAAAAAGAAAGTTTTGGAATCACATATACGTTAACTACAATTGGAACAAAGGTCAGTTTACAGCATCTGACCAAGATTTCCCTTTTTTGAGAAAGGTTTGAACCCAGGAGCTCATTTCATAAGTAGGTTGAGTATGATCGCCTGGGTGAACGTAGTCCTGAATAGGACTGTTGTTGACAATGACTGACGTTTCGACAACCTGTGCGGTAGTCATCTTTAGAGTCAAAGTGATTTGTTTACGTCAGTTGATGGTATTAAACTCTGGTTATTGATCTGATTGGTCAACTAAGCCGCGATGTTATTGGCTATGAAGACTCGAAATGTCATTGGTGCGTTTCGATCCGTCTATTGTCGCAGTTTAACAGTCGTTTATTAGTCAAATTGTCAGTTGTCCAGTCATTCTCTCGTAGTTAGTTTTGCATGAGTCCGTCAATAAGTCGTTTGTACGGTGCCGGTAACTGTTGACTACGGATCAGTGGCGTCTTTGTTCTAAGTTAGTAGACCAGCTTTCTAAAGTGAGTCGTTGATAGTAGGAGGATAATACATGTCACAGAGTACCAGTCGTTTTATGTTAATCATATCTACACCAAGCCCCTCCCCCACCCCCTGGCAGTTTCTTAGTGCCATTTCTTGAACTCCAGACAAAAGCTCAATTTGTCGTGGAAATCTACCAAAATGCTTTGGCAGTGACGAACAGTAACAGCACTGCCCTACGACAGAAGCCCAGAAAAGTGCTTAGTGGTGTGTTGATTTAGAGTAATGTTCAATAAAACGTCCAACACATTTTTTTAGGATGAACTTGGAGGGGATTCATGGGGAGATTTAGTGACCATCCTCAAATCGAAGAAAAGAGCCGAAGAGCTTGAGAGCAAAGGCCAAGCAAACGCTTACGACCGAACTCTGTTGCTTGGTGGCTGTCTTGATGGAACGATCGTCCTGTTTGAGTGGCAGAATGATAGTGCACCAGGCAAAGTCTCCTTTAAAGTAGAGGTAAGGCGTAATGGATATGTTCAGCGGACATAAAGTAAAATAAAACACAAGCGGCGTGGCCGAGTGGTCAGCGCGTCGGACTTTCATTCTGGCTGTTCCTGGTTCAAGTCCCGCTCTGGCCACTTGCTGGATTTGTTCTCTGTCGTCACGAGTTCAAATCCTCGGCCACGCTTGTAAATAGCCAGCTGGTGGCTGCCTCCTGCCAGTTGGGGTTTTTAATCCTGTTATGTTGTATTTGAATTATTTGTTTCTAAGTATTTGAGTGGAGTGCCTGTAAACTAGCTGGATAAGCTAAGTGCACTTTCCACTATAAACAAGCCTTTTTTTAAACCTTTAAACAAACAAGTAAACAACAAAGAAAAGACAAAACGTAACCCTTAGCCAAACAGATCAGTTTTGGAAGTAGTGTAGTGTGAAATAGATAGCTGTAGGATAGTTATTATGATAACCAAATGAAAGCCAACTACAAAACCCTGAGAGGCGTTTTCCTTTTCTTGCGTTGGCCCTTCCCCTTATCCCGCTACGGTGAGCGCATGATACGAGGTCATAATTTCATACAAATTACTGTATTCTGTGATCTCAAGCTTTGATTGGGTGCCCTTCCAGGAATGCGGAAATGAACAACGGTCCATCGGGATTTATAGTAACTGCTGCCTGTTGCTTTTGTTCTTATCGATTCTTAGCTTTTATAGTTTTCATATGATGAATTATTGTACATTTTTAGTTTTTAATTTTTAGAATAAATTTTTTTTAATTCATAAATTTTAGCATATATTAGGGCCGTGGATTACCTGTAAACTAGCTGCTAAAGCTAAGCATAGACTCCACGTCAAATGAAGTGTCGTATGACTATCTGCCAGGATAGGTTCTTGCCCCTAACTCCCGCGTAAGAAAAAATCACTGATATATTGCTCAAAAATTTGAGGGTCTCAACGACGGCCATTTCACAGCAAGAAATTACAATGAAATCATTGTTGATTTCTTAGATTTCGAGATCAATTTTCTCTTCCTCGTGCAATGCAAAGAATATCATCGCAGTTAATGATCATGCTCGGTAGTTAACACAACTTGTTGTTATTTTTAGGCTCACAGAGATGAGGTGATTACTATGGTAGCAAATCCAGCTGTAGACCAAGTCATATCAGCTGGCCTAGGTGAGTCTAGGGGTTTTTTTTAAAATTACATGTGTCCGCTGGGCCGATACAGTTTTCTAAACTATAGGTTTCTTATTCGCTTTTATTTGCCCGATATAAGAGAAACAAGAACGTGAGCAACAATTTCATTGACCTCGAGTTCGTCTTGGTCCATGAAAGCGCGACAAAAGAACTTGGTCAATATCCAGCCATTCTGACCTCACGCTTGGTCAAAAACGCATATTTATTATATGGCTACAGTAGTACGCGCGCTCTGATTGGCTGTTTTCTTGTAATGACCGGACAATACTAGCTAGATGTCCATGGACATCCTTCAGGACATTCTTGTTATGGTCAATTGACAGCTGTCAAAAAGAGTATCCGCTAACCAGTGTCACATGACCGTATCGCTGGCGCATACAGTATATATATAGTGCACGCGCAAGAGTGTTCTTTACCTATCCGCGGCGTCCTATTCTTTACAGTATCTACTACTTATTAACCGAGACTGAGGTCATTATAGGCAAATCTCAGAGCTCGGCCTTGATTTATTGAGATTTCCCTGTAATGACCTCAGTCTCGGTTAATAAGTAGTATATACTGTAAAGAATAGGGCGCCGCGGATAGGTAAAGAACGCTCTTGCGCGTGCACTATATATATACTGTATGCGCGCGCTCTGCCCGTTTGTTTGCGTCATCCACTTAATCCATCGCCGGCTTCATAGCCAGTTTTACCATGATTTTACTGAACTTTGGCACACTAGTCTGCACAGAAAAGTCGTATCTGTTTTCAATTTCTAGGGTTACCATGCCAAACCGTAGTTCTCGTGATGCAAGGACTTTTTTCTTTAGCAAAAACTAAGGGTAGTTTTTTGTTGCAGATCATGCGATCAAGATTTGGCGCCTTTTCCCGTTTGCTGAGGAGGCCCTGGCACCTCTGATGACCTTGTACTGCCATGAAACCCCTCGACGTCTGACCGTAGCGCACCACAAACTTTGCGCAGCATTCCACGAACCTGCTACTGCTTCGTATAATATCGTGGTGTTCAAAACTACTCAAAAGAGTAAGTGCTTTATACAAATACGTATCATAATATTTCTAGGCACCTCAATCGCGGTCAAACGTTTGTGTCATTTCTCTACTTACTCAGCGGCAATTTAACAACAGCGAAGCAAAACACTTTGGACGTCTGGCCGCAAAATGATGATAGTGATGATGATGATGATGATGACGATGATGATGATGATGATGATGATGATGATAATGATGATATTGAATAGAAAACAAACAAACAGTCAAACAAAAAAGAGAAAGTTAAACAAACTAAACAAAAATGATCAAAAGGGAAAAAAAAAAGTAAGAGGGATACAAAGTAAAAGATAATGATTATTTCTAAAAACATTATGGCCTTTAATTCCTTTCTGCAAATTTTAAGAATCATTACAATTTACGAGTAACTTTTAGTGTAATCGGATCTCATTCTCATTCCTAAACACGTTTGTAAATCAAAAGAGCGACGTGGCTTTCTTTCACCAAATTAACATGCTGCATGTGTCAATTTCCCTTCAGAGCGGTTTGATCATGATAGTGATTTGGACCATATGGATGACGTCACGGGTCTTGCCAGCTGCCCTAAGATGAGGCTGTTTGCGTCATGCAGCGCTGACGGCTCCGTGAGGATCTGGGATGAGTCCAACAAACTTCTGCGCGTTATAAAGTTGAATGCCACTCCCAACAGCATCAGCTTTTGCAGTCAGAAGGGAGATCTGATAGTGGGCATTGGCAAACATCTACATAAGATTAACTATGCCACTTGTAAGTACAGTCGAACCTCCATGTGCGACCACCTCTCGTAAGCTACCACCCTTCAACTGCACGTGCATCACGCTTTTTTGCACATTTCTTAGCCGTTGTTGCACGACGGCGACATGAAACTTCCTAATTTCACACGCCCGCTTTATAGAGTAGGTGAACACAGCACAAAAATTTTCTCTTTCCTTTTCTAAACTTAGGTATGGTCCTTTCGGATTCAACCCCAGAAAATGTCGCCAACATTTGACAAATTAAATGAAATTGAATAAGATCGATGAAGCTTGAAACAGTCCGAATTCACATTTTAAGTGACGTTTTCGGTTTTTTGTCATCCAGAAATTTTGCTAGCTCGGTAACATGACGTAACAACCTCTCCTCTCTTTAAGCCCCGGTAGCTAACCTCCATCACGGGAGCAATTTTCTTTGTTTTCATTTTGAAATTTGACTTACATTTGCCTTCACACCCTCACTTGTAGACATTCCCCAATCATATATTTACCGAATGGTAGCGATGGATTTCCGACGGGTCGCCTCCGAGGGACCAATCGAGATCGACTCGGACATCAAAGCTGGTCTAACATCCGAGGAATGTCAGCGTCTGAACCGAGTCAAGTCGTCCTTGCACAAATACAGCCGCTTTAAAGACAGGCTACCACAGGATGAAATGGACGAAAAAATTCAGGAGGAAGAAAGGAGAAGCCAGGTTAGGCACCACACATCTTTGCTAACGCGTAAAAAAATGATAAATGATGAATACGTAACTATTCCCTTCCCGTATGGGACTTTTCAGGGATAATGAAATAATAATCAATAACCTTTTATTATGCTTTGTCATAATATTAATATTACACTCTAGGAAATTTAATTACAGTACAAGATATATTAAATGTAACGAGAATAATGTGCAAGCTAGGAAGTTAAATGAACCAGTTGGTTTTCTTGTCAGCTCCCTGAACAAAACCGAAAAACAAAACAAAGTAGGAAGAACTTCTATTTATATGAACTATGTTGCTTCATCAACGTTGAATCTAATTTATTCAGTTGGTTAGATAGTTCTTCCAATTTTGCATTTATAGGAGCAAGCTCCTGCTTTAAAAGATTTTTGACCTGCTCGAAAGTGATACTTGCAGCCATTGTGAGCAATTTTAGCATCGATGGCGGGACGGCTAGAAAACGTGGCCGTCCACCATAACGACATATGCTAATCCAATCTCAAATAAACAAATGAAACAAATAAATTTGAATGGAAAATACAAGGTTAAGAATCCCAACTGGTAGGAGGCGAACTTTACAATCGCGGCCAAGGATTTGAACTCGGGACTGCCAAGAACAAATCCAGCTAGCGGTCAGGGAGAGGGACGTTGGACTCGGGGCCTCCGGATTACAAGTCCAGCGCTCTGACCGCTCATCCACACTGCCCGAAAAACAAACAAATAGACAAACAAAACACGCGCACACAGACTATGGCTTTCACGGTCAATTGACAATTAGAAACCTAATCAACTGAATCAGGTCACTTTATGGGTGTTGTGGAAGCTATGGTTGGTTAACTATAAGGAGTTTTAAGCAGAAACGTTTTTGAGCGACGAACGTCAACCGGAAGTGAGCCTTTTTCACTTTTAATATGCCTTGATGCTACCAAATTTGTGTTGCTAAGTGCCTTTTTTCTTAAAAAGACGATTTGTCCAAGAATTTGTTCGAAATCACGGCCGAAGAGTGCAAAAACTCCATTTGCGGTAGAAGTGCGTCGCTCGAAAACGCCGCTGCTTAAACTCTGTTGTGGTTTGGTCATTGTTCAGTCTCTTTTCAATCTTTTGCTGCTTAAACTCTGTTGTGGTTTGGTCATTGTTCAGTCTCTTTTCAATCTTTTGTATCACGTGATGTGGTGATTACAGCCATCCGCGACGCCGAGAAACCACCCACTTTATAACAATCTGATTCAGGATGGACGTCTTCACTAAACGGAACACATCTGATTGTTATCATCTTTTTCCTCTCTAGGCGTTTTCCAAAATCCAAGAACGCGAGAGCGAATTGCGTAAACTTCGCGATGGAACCTACGAATTTAGCCGGAAACGACAAAACGTCGACCTAGAGACAGTCCGCGGAGAAGCGTTCGACAGATACTTGGAAATCTTCTACAAACGACCTTGTATCGATCTTCCAGACGACGATTTAGAGGACGAAAATGGTTATGAAGAGGAAGAAGAGCGATACGCTCCCGACAGAGGAAACGGATTTTTTTCAATAAGCAGACAGTCGACAAGATCCAAGAAAGGAGAGGCTTCTTCCTCTGAAAAATCCGCTCCGAAAGCGCCGATCATGAGTCTGTCCATGTCTGAGTTCGAGCCCATACAATTAAAAGACGATGCCAGGGACTCACCTGTGTTGCCCACAAGCAAAGAGCAGGATGAATTGTCAAGGTAAGCCCATTGGTTTGTTGTTTCAGTTATCGGCGGTACATTCAGCAATGGAAACTAAGCGAAAGGGCTTTGTACAATAACTGAGTGATTTCTCACTCGCTTATTTGTCGAACTGTCGACAGAGGTGACGTTAACGAAACGATTCGCAACCATGGTTTTTAGCCGAACACAGCGTTGCAACATTGTTGCGACATTGTTTCGAATGGTTACAACATTTTTCCAACATTGAAAAGCTGTAGAAAAAAAAAAGTGTTAATGATATAAGAAATAAATCATATATGAACTGCGGAAATGAAATGGAAATGAAGAAATGATCGTCGCAGTGAACGCAATTTATGCAATTGCGTAAAAAAGCCTGAAAGAAATTGAAAAGCTGTGTTGCGCTAAAAATCAAGGTTGCGAATTGTCTCTTGTAAGAGTGCAGACCATGGAAATGGCATGATGGTGGCTCAATTTCTTTGTCTTTGTCGCGCGCGCGATTTTCCAAGAAACGTCAATGGTAATGGACTTTAAAAGCTGTCACTGTTATTGTAAAAACAAATCGACAACAATCAATTTTCCATGGTCTGCACTCTTACCGACTATAGAAATGACGTCATAATGTTTACAACGGTGCAGTGAAACCACTCGCTTGCGGTTGGTGGTTTCACTTGAGTTTTGAACATTTCGACGTCATTTCTATGGTCGAAAAGATTTCAGACCACTAAAAATTGTTGTCGATTTAGTTAATTCTTCATTTATACCGTTCGTAAGCTGTTTTGAATAAAAGAATGTTTGACTTCAGAATCAATTGTAACACCAGCTATTCAATATTGAATGTTGTGAATCGCTTCGAAAGTGGTTACTCTGTCCAATCACAGCCGGTCAGGTCAGCCCAGTTAAAACAATGAGAACTAGACGGAAGTAGGCGTAGCCTGCGTAAAAGGCGGGAAAACTCAAAGAACGAGTCCCGACCGGTTTTGGCATTACTTCTGATTTGTTGACAAAAAGGCGCGAGATTTCTTAACCAATCAAAGAGAACCGAAATGCAAAACCAAAGCAATCACTTAGTCTTTTGGTAAAGTACCATCACTGACCAGCTTCAAATTTCTCCTAACAGTTTTACTTATGTGGTGTGACAAATTAGGTAATAGGATTATGGGAAATTGGTTTAGAGTCTGAGAACAATAGCTATTCATACAATGATGTGAATGCTACGCTGTGATTGGTCGATGCCCATATAAGAGTACAGATACATGGATGACGTCAGGGGAAACTTGTTTTCTTTGTTATGTTCAACATGGTGCGTGGCTTTGAAAATGTTTGTGAGATTATTTTGCATTAAGCAAGTGAAAGCCTAGTAAAAAGGTTTAGCGGGAGCTATTCAAATAGTGATTCAAATGTGGTAAAAACATCAGTGACACACTTGCAGGCTTCTTTGTTTTTGTCACATTTTGCGCGTCATCTGTGATCTATTACTGAACGGACGCACGGTAACATGGAATCTATTTGTTAAATACACTAGCTTGTAAATTACATTTGTAAAAGTTTTATTAAATTGACCCCAGCTCCATTCAACCACTTTAGAAACGAGAAGGAAACTGGGCCGAGTTAACTTTTGCGAAGACTCAAGCACTCTGGCAGTGAAAGGGTTAAGCTCCCTAATGGATCAAACGCTGATGAGATGCGTGAGCAAACAATCTAGGCAGATACAAAATACTTCAATCTTTGGAAGGGTAAATTACTAACATCGACTTATGGCTCATTCTTCACAGATCTGAACGCCCTTTTACCTTAGACACAGAGAGTGAGATTTTTTCTCACGAGGAAACAAGTTCCAGGATATCCCACTCGGCGCCTTCTCACAGACAGGACTTCCGACGTCATCCGATAGAACCACCGCTGGTGAATCGGGACCGCGATCGATACGTGGTCGACGTGCCGAAGTCTGATCGGTACCCGTCGCCGAGTCAATCTCGCCAGCTTGTATCGCAAAGACTCTCGCGACTGGCCTCTTCAGCTGATGACGGAGACGAGGACACGTTCGTAATTGCGCCCGATGGTTTTATTCCGAACTCTGTGGTTGTCGCTATGTTTAAGGATTTACGGGAAGAAGGCACGGAAGAAACAGATACCTGGAAACCACCTCAGCTCACAGCAGAACAATTAGCTGAACTAGAAAGCAGAAAGAAGGTAAATACGGGAGAGAAATTTTCACTGCTTCTAGACGAACCTTTAAGCTAGTTCCGCGATTGCAACGGCCACCGAAAGTTAGAAGCATCTGCTGTATGAGAAAAATAACTTTTGCCATCCAGTCACGCTTGCATGGTCTTCCATACAAATCCTTGTAAATTTCGAAACTTTCAAACTGTCATGAAATATTTCCTCAAGCATTACGGGGCTCAAATCTCCTTTTAATTCATAACAGGCAATTTGAGCCCTTAAATGCGTAAGGGAAAAATTTAACGACAGTTTTAAAATTTTAGAGTTTAAGATTTAATGTGTCATGAACGAAAATCTTCAGTACGTTTGCTTGAATTTGTTTCTCTTTTTCTTTGTGTATAGAAACTTCCAAAATCTCCAGAGAGTCCAAAAGAAAAGCGGAGCAGGACAAAATCGAAGTTCGCTGATCAACTTCAGCTTGCTTTACGAGATATTCCATCACCAGAACCTTTGGATGATAGCGAACTGCTGAGGTCTCCCACTCCAACACCGCCCCCGTCCCCTCCCACCGCGAAAGAACCATCTCCCCGCAGGACCCCATCCCCTAAAAAGGAAATCAAACCACTTAAGCCGATTGAGAAATTAGTGACGCGCCCAAAGCCTCCAACACCACAACCGTAAGTACAACTGTAATCGGAGTAATCCTTTGATTCAATGGAAAGTTTCAACAAGGTAGACTGTTCACAGTCCCCTATTTTCTGTAAGATCGTCGAGATCGAGCGCTTTGCGTTGCGGGCAGTCATCTTGGATGAGTGCTGTCTGTACTACTTAGGGACGGGAGGGGGCGGTTTGCGAAGAAGCGCTTTAAATCCCGACGCCGTCCCCTGGGTACATATGAAACCAAGATGGCCGTCCGTACCGCTAAGCGCTCGATCCTGACGATTTTACAAAAAAACAGGATACTGTGAACAGTCTATCAACAATGTAAAGGTTAAAATTTTAATCTGCAAGATAACAAAATGCCAAATAAAAGATAACCGGAATAAGTTACTGTTTAACAACTTTCATATGATTGCATGGTCACAGCGTAGGATTTTATTCACAGGCCCAAGAACGTGATCGATCTAGTACCCCATAACGAGCAATACAGCTTTAGATCTTTTGTTTGCACAATGGCAATACTTGATTTTCCCTAAGAGAAACTTCTAGTCAAGTGGAAAGTTAGAGCTTTGTCAGGGCTCGAAAAAAAGCTTGAATTCCAGCTTGTCCTTTTGGCGAGCTGCTCTCATATTTTGCTTGCCCAGGCCATTTCTCGCTCATCTTAGTTGATGATTTAGTAAGAAGATGATTTGCCTGGACCTTTGCCCAGGAAACAAATCTGCCTGTCCCGCACTACCGGCCGAGACTTTATTTAAGCCCTGTTTGCAGGTAGTTTGTTGCTGCTGTTTAAAAGTTTTCCAAACTATGCCTAATCCTGTTTTAACGTAATATGTCTACGTAAGTTTAAGAAATAAAAAGGTAGTTAATAATTTAAATGTTTTAAACTAAATGAAGTAAGATTAATTAACTTCAAGCAAACATATTGAAGATTTTAGTTCATCACGCATTAAATCCTAAACCTTTTGTTTAACAAAAATGTACGCTTATTGTTTGAGGAGTTTGAATTAATAAATGTCTAAACCATAAACTGTAATTTTTGTTAAAGAACACAGCTGTCCAGCGTAAATGTAAAACAAAATGGTTGGTTTTCACCTCCCATTCATTCAAACAACTCGGAACTGGACAAACAAAGCCCGCATAATCATCATGACCACCATTGTCAGGTGTTGCCTCTCCAAGAAGAGAATTTGGATGCTAGGCCACCGTCGCCCTCGTCGCTGGCCATTAAGTTAATCTCTGTTGAAAATGAGGTCGTCAATCCAGATGAACTTACGCTTAAGGAAAGGTAAACTGAATATTAAGCCGGACCAATTTAAGAGGATTTCAATGGGGTTTACCGTCAGCCGTCAAACGGTTTTAAATTAACCGTCAACCGTCAAAAAGGTAATTTTTTGCCGCCGACCGTTAAAAGTGGAGGTTAATATTAACCGTAAAAAGTGTCAAGGTATTTCAAATCTCACTGTTTCAGCTAATCTTCATAGAATCTCTTAACTGGACAAACCAGTTCCCGTGTTCGCAGAAACACTCTCTTTAGCTATTTTAAAACCTTACAACTTGCTTATATCTGAAAATATTTCGAAATTTTATAAGTGAAAGGCCAAGACTAGACAACCCCGGAAACACAACAGTTAACATTAATTTATACAGTAGCTAATAGTTACCTTAAACTCTTGGAATAAATTTTCACTTCATAATCGTCAACCGTCAAAGCAACAACCCCATTGAGACCCTCAATCAATTTAATCTAGGGATAAGTAAATCTTGCCTTTTGTCTTTAATCACGCGGGCATTGTTAGCTACTTTAAATAACACTCACACTGAAGAACTAAATTCATACCTAATATCAACATCTAATCATAGTTGTTCGTTATATATTAGCGTAGGTAAAGCTTCAGCAATTTTAATTTCGATAAAATACCAGCAATAACCCGCCGTGTGCCAGTGTTTTAGCTAACGTTATGTTTTTAAATCAAACATTTTTCACCCTCGTGGCATCGAAAAAATATTGTAAATGAGGTTCTCTACATGTACAGTAATTTTCTAGTAGAGAGAAAAGTTTGTCCAGTGCAATAAATTTTTCCAAGTTCAACCGGTGTCTTAGCAATGACTAACTGTCGTTTTTTCGTTCAATTTTTCAGGACACCCCTCCTCCAAAGGAACCAACTCCAACCCCTCCACCTCCCCCTCCCACTCCATTACCCTCCTTCATAACTCAGTTCAAAGGAACTCTGTGGTTTGAAAACTTTTTTCCTGATGGCAACTCAGATGTAAGTATTTAGCTTCACTTGGCGAAGAGTTTAACTTGCACTGTTTGCTTAGAATGCTTGATACCTAGCTCTCCTGTATTTATCGTTATTTAAGGAAGAGTTGAACTTGAACTGTTTGCTCAGAATGCTATGAAGTACGTAACCCAATTTACTGTCGATGCTAGAAGGGAGTCTCAACTTATTTATTTTTAATACAACCCTTCCAAGTCAGTACGCAGCCAGAGTTTTTTGTCACACAACGCCCTTTGCGATCCTATCTTGGGGAGGAGCGTGCGACGACAAAAAAATGGCTAAGTAGGAGACTAACCTTTCCAGTTTGTAACTTAGATTTGTTCAGCATGATTTTCAGGTTGGCTAATATCTAAAACCAAGAACCAGAAAGCATTAATAAAAATAGCATTATTAGAAATAGCACTTGACACCTTCAAGAACTGATAAACCTGTGGCTGCCTTTCCAGATCAAATTGGGATTTGGAATGTTTGTCGACCTCAACCTGTTTTTCACTTGCAGTTTTCTTGAATTTTATTAGTCTAATTACGGAAATCGGCAGTGGCTTTTTCACTAGAGACGGATTATCCCATTCCGTCTGAGATTGGTTATATGTTGATAATTCGCGTCAGACAGATATACGTCTTCATTTGAAAATGGAACGGTTTTAATTTTAGATAAACAATCCGCGTGTCTTTATCCATCTGCTTATCCGTCAATTTTGACGGACTTTGCAGATGGATTATTCGTCTCTAGTGTGAGAACAGCCAGTCATAGGTAAACCAATGGTGCCTGTTTCAGTGGTCTCGACGTGGCTGAAGTTTTAACAGCTTTGACTTCTCATTTGCAGTCCTTCCTGAAGACAGTAGACAGCTTTGTAGAACTACTACTGAGTCTGATTCAGAAGACACCTGACCACGAAAATGAAGACACAGATCTGTGCTGTATGTATTATATACGAAAATATTTGTCAAACTCCATTTTGTAATTCATTAGGAGAAAACAAAGGAAATCTCCGTCGTTAAAAACTGTAATTTGGATGCTGATTACCATAAAAATTTTGTTAATAGTAGTTTTGACTTTCTTTCAGAATCATTAATCATCGATATTTGCTATTTGCACATCTACCATAATACGGTTTGCCCTCGTAAATTTTGCACAACCATTGTCTTTGATTTCTGGGGCGACTGTAATACCCAGGGAGAAATTGGAAACGATGGTTATTCAAACGATGGTTATTATGGTAAAATGGCGAATACAGTCACACCATGAAGTTGAGGCGAGAACCTCGTTTAACGATTTTAGCGAGTGACCAACATCAATTTGCTCCTGACAGTATTAATGCATCGTAAGAGAAAAAGTTTGAGGAATTAATAACCTAGAAAAATACTTCGATCTTTTATCAATTCTCTCAACTAATTCTTCAAGGACATGTATGAGATCAGTCTGGCGAATTTGTATGCGGATATTCAGACTAAGGTTTATCAAGCCACTTCTTGGTGTATAGTATGAGACAAACTTTGTATCTCCCATAAATTACTTATTGGATAGTAACGAGTCTTCTTCTTCCCCGTCTCAAGTAGCCTAACACCGTTTCAAGTTTTTAAGTTAGGTTGGGATTTTGAGACACACCACTACGAGTAGGAGATTTTCAATATTGCGTATTGCTCACGCGTCAACCAGCGTCATTTCCGCGGAAACGTGATAGCCGTCGTCGTTCTACTACGGGTTTTAGCGAGAATGTCGTAGTGGCGGCAGCAATTTGTCAAAATGTGTTAGTTTTATCATTTTACTATCGGAAGAGGGCTTAACCTACTTCTAAGTAATGTATGGGGCCAATCGTGCTAACTTTTTTGGTGAGAATAAAGTAAATGAAGCTTTTCGGCGTGTCTCTTTACAAATACGCGCAAAACTTAAGTTACATCTCATACTCAAATCTAAAGCTCTCTAATGTTTGGTAGGCTATCATGCTATTACACCGCCAAGTATGACTTAGTCGCCAAACGTGTGAGAGAAAGTCAATCGGACCATGATGGCTGGAATTGAAGAATCCCGATCCACCTTCTGCGCATGGCTCGACCCAGTTAAGCAGTATTTACGCGCTGCTCTGCAGCTGTCACACACAATGAGGGTATGTGAAGCGTTCTTTTGTGGCCGAACTGATGGCCCAGTTTATCGATGGAGATGAGGAGATCAGGTATGTTTTGAAAATGACAAAATGATATCCGAATTCTGATTGGCTTTCAGGATTGCCTGTTTTTGTTTAGAAAAGTAGATCTATTATCGTGGAATTTCATTGGCGTTGTAGTTAGCACGCTTCAGCATCAGTCACCATTTCACCAAGACCATAATGCACCTCAGCAGTGAGAACTCTGGGGGCAATGAATGGTTATCGTCGCGATGTTTCGGGGAAAACCTGGGACTTTTACTACTCTTTTTGCATATTTCCTGCTTTGCAGGAATTTCTGCACGTGGGAGTGCTGGCCTCGACTTGAGTCCAGATACAGCAAATTATCAAAAAAGAATTGGATTTATTCGATACCACGGTACGCTTATTTTTTGTGAAGCGTAGTTTTGTATATGCCTGCTGAGCCCTGAGCACACCTCATGTTTTGCTCCCGTCCAGCGGCGCGTTTTGGCGCATGCGCAGGCGATGTGTCTATATTTTGTTTGCGTTGTACTCGAAGCTTTTGTTTTTCCTTGCTCGGTAAAACTGGCTGACCAAGAAAAGCAGCCCCCATACGAATCATTTATTAATTGAATGCGATTTTCGTTAAGATACGTAAGATCTGGAGGCAACACCAAACACATAACAAAACCATGCAAGTTGTCATGGTTACCTAAGGCTCAGGCCTGATTACTTGGACCACATATCCTTTAAATGAATTTCGGAAGTCAGGCTTTACAGCCTGCTTTCTTTTACAAATTTAGGGTATTCCTGAAAACAGAAGAAAGGCGTGTAAAAAGACATGTGTGTTCAGTGGCTTAACAAATGGCTTTCCAGTTCAGGGAACATATCCGTTCCCCTGGCAGAAAGATCGCCAGCGCAAGTCAGTGTCGTCGGTAAGACTGGATTCTCTTTTGCGTTATTATTATGCGAACGTTAGCAGATCATTGTGCGTTACCGCTTAGTTCGCGGGCACGTCCACCCACATTGCACTGGTGACAAGAACTGACAAACTCGTTCTCTTCAATCTGCATATTTTCTACAACATGCAAGCAATTGGTCTCCTAATAGTTGACATCTTATGCCCTAAAGGAGATGTTAGCAATACGCAACTGAACGAAGCACAAATTAA